GGGTTACGGGGAACATACTTCCTTGTAAGGAGATGCGAACCCATCCGGGCAGCCTACCTTGTGGTTGTTTTGGAGAGGTGTTTCGAACAACTCCCTAAACTCTGAGCCCCAGACCCCAAACCCGAAACCCGAAGCGCGAAACCCTAAACCCTAAACCGCGCTGAGTTATCAAGTAAACACATAACTGCAAGCCCACTGGGATAGTTGTCGGTTGAGGTGATCCTGTTCACGCATATCCTTCAGAGGCTTTAAGCAGCGCACCTAGCTTCAGAAAGGGCCTTTGAGATATGGGTCTGTGTCACGGCTCCGTGAGCTTCAAGAAAAGAATTCATTCACACTCTAAAGCCCTGTGGTAAAGCTTGAGGTTTAGGGCTTGGATTTGGGGTTGAGGGTTGAGGGTGTGGGGTTTGGGGTTGGCAGCCTGAGGTTTTGTTCTGGGTTTTTTTAGAGGCTGGTGGGTTGACAGTTTGGCATGCACTAGGAGCTAGGTAACTAAGTGCCTTAAGCGACACCTGAACACATTGAGAAACTTAATGAGCTATTTGCGAATGATGGAACTCTTGCAGAAGCCAAACAACTAAACCCTAAGCCCTAAACTCTAAATCGCAGTCTTCTTCCACGCCCAGGATCGGCAAGAAGCGGGAGTTCCGCGCCGGGGCCCCTTCTTGGTCTTTGGTGCGGCAATTCAAGGACCTATGAAGTTGTTCAGAGGGCTTAAAGAGCGTCTTAGACAATTTGTATACTGGTTGAACTGAAAGGTTCTTGAGTTCTATTCTATATCGTTTTGCAGACGTCTTGTTTTAGTCCCAACTTGCAAGAGCTGTCGGACTTTTTGGCTAAGAAGAGATCTGCTGCGAGACTGGCGCGCAAGCAACTTAGGGCCGTAGGAGGTTTGGTTTAGGCGAGGCTTCTTCAGTGATTCAGAGCGTCACTACACCTTAAACAGCCTAAGCCCTGACACCGGGTCGAGCCCGAAACCCTCAAGCCAGGCGCCCTGAGGGACCTTTGCTAAAGATTTCAGGGTTTTCGGTCCGGGCTTCGGCTTGGAATCTAGTGCGTAGCATGAGGAGCTTAGGCAGGGTATGCGTTGTTATTGCACGTGCGTGGGGATTGACCATTCCTTCTGCAGTTTGTTCCAGCTTCCAAGCTGGAGCTCGGAATCGATACAGTGGAAGTGCCGTGCCAAGAATGTAAACACAGGTCATCCTCTGAGCTTTCGCTGCTACATGGAGGCGGACTCCACCGTCTGATGTTGACTTGCTGACCGAGCTGTGTGCAGCAGGAGGTGCCTTGTCACCCCATTTTGGCCTGCCCGAATTCGCGCTGAGCTGTGTCGTCCTAGACTGGCTACACATCGTTGACCTCGGTGTCGGCGCCGATGTCATGGGCAATTTGTTTCGGCTCCTGTTCACCTCAAATCGCTGCTTTACTTGCTGGCGATAGCAAGGAGGAGCGTTTGGTCCAGCTATGAACAAATATCCGGGAGTTTTATCAACAAGATCGCGCCCCCAGTGTTCTTGACAGATTAACACTCGAGATGATTCGGCGAGACGGGGCCTCGATGAAGCCTAATTTAGAAGGCCAAGTAATTACAAACATTACATTTTCTAGGTTCCTTATCATAACTAGACTATAAGGGATTCCAATTATTAAGGCCCCTATAGTAAATTGAAGAGACCTTGAGCCTAGAGCCTAGGGAGGAGAGTGCATGCTGACCATACAAAGCCCACCACTCAACCCTAAATTCCAATCCAGACCTGAAGCCCGAAACGCTAAACCCTGAAGCTAAACGCAACCCTAAGCTCGAGGTACATCAGAGCATTTTCAGCAACCCATGCCAAGCCAAGAGCTGCGGCGCGGGCTTGAGGGCTCTATCCAACACCTCAACACACCAGACCTACAGGTCCAACTCGAAACCAAACCCTAATAAAACTCTAAACCCTAAATCCTATACCCTACACCCAAAAGCCTATACCTCAAGCCCTTAGTCCTCAACCCTATGAGCCCCAAGTCCAAGCCAAGTCCGAATTTCTAAATCCTGAGCCCGACTGAGGATGCGGATGCGGCGGCAGCAGCCAAAGAAGCCCGCGATGCAAGGCTCAGATTCCGCCGAGGAGTAAAGTCCTTGGCAGTCGTTTTTCCATGGCTACTATAGTACAAAGCCGAGGTGTCGTGCAACAAATGATTCTCAGTTTGGGTGCAAGCGGCTTCTACTAGAGGCCATGAAGTTGGAACATGGGCTAAAGCTGATCCCTGCTGGATTTCTCTTTGCTCCAGGATAAGGGTCCGAGGATAATGATGTTCCAACCCTTCTGGCTGCTAATGAAGAGATAGTTCTTGAAGATTCGACGTTTAAGAGCGGGCTTTACCGGGGTGGGCATGTGGGGCTTGTCATGTTTTATCAGGTTGCTGTACGGCTTTGGAAGGGTTACAGGGCCCGATAAGCGCTTCATAGGGCTGTATGGGTGTGCACGCGTAGGACTTTTCAAGGGTGCAGGGCCGAGGGATGATCTAGACGCCTATAAGCAGTCAGCCCCCTTTCCACAAGGGCCTTCACAGGTGTTTTCCGATTATATGATCAGGGATCTACATCATTCAGCATTTATAGTTCTTCAATGATGAAGGGTCGTTCTTGCGGTTCAACCTTTGCTTTCATTGGGTGCTTGGGGAAACGTTCCCTTATGCTCCCCACGTAGCAATACTGGTTACAAGACGCCCACAGCATCCCGCGACTCTGTTCTACATGTTCAGATCCTAAGCCCTGAAACTCCTTCCAAGGAGCGCTTATATACAGAAATTGTAGTCTAATGATACTACAGTACCTATCACAGGCGCGAGAGGAATTCCTCCATCGGCATCGGCGCTACATTTTGCGTCCTCGCCACCTGGCTTAAGCCCGTCATCCGACGTAGGGCTTTCAGAGGCATGGGTTAGGGTCTGGGGGTTTCCATGGGTTTGGGGGTTTAGGGCTTCGGGGGTTTAGGGTTTGGGGTTTACATTAGGTTTAGGGTAGAGGGTTTAAAGTGAGGCTGCTGTTTTCGGAGTTTTTCTTAACAGACTTATTCTAGTTCCCTCTGCAGTCTTGCCGCAGCAAGGTCCTGCAACTGGCCCTGGTTTCAAGCCACAGCCCGCAAAGCCTTAGCCTTAAAAGCTTTAAACCTTGAGCACTAAGCCCAAAGATCCTACAGTCATAGGAGGCCAAAAGGGGTTTTAGCCTATGGGGGTTTAGTAGGGATTAGGGTTCCCAAAATAGGGTTCAGATTAAGGAATCCCTACCCCAAGAATCTTACACCCCCCTTTTGGCCTACCATCATAAAGGCGGTAGCGACCAGCCTTTGTGACGTCGTGTTTCACGTTGGAGACAGGCAGAACGTGGCTATCAGACGCCTATTGATGTAGAAGCCTTGAAATAGTACTACATGGCCCTTCTAGTACCTACTGTAAAGTGACTAGACTATCTATCCACCAAGAACCAAATTCTAACTGTCGAGGCCGTTACCTTCAGCCAAAAATTCCCCCTAAACCCTAAACCCTAAACCCTCAACCCGTAAACCCGAGAAGGGAGCACCACGAGTGCAGAAATTTTTTCGGGGGCTCGGCAGGTTTAGGGTCTCCAGGTTTAGGGGATCAATTTTGGGAGGTCTTGGTTTTTCCCAAGACTGAGGAGGAGATCCCTTCGAAGCCCTAAGCCCTCAGCAAGCCTAGCAGAATACTCGAGATCTGAGGCCTTTTTCCTGATGCTCTCCTCCGTCAGGGCCTCTTTGTCGGAGCTGCCCAACGCTACTTGCGGTGTCCTGAACCCTCGCCTACTGCTACCACAGCCTGAACCGCAATTCCTGAACACCGAGTCCCCAAACTCCGTGAGCATGAAACCCTAAGCCTGAAACCTAGATTCCTTCCCACCCTGAACCTCACCCTCGAGAATCTCAGCCTAAGCCCTAAACCCTTGACCCTAAACTCTTCAAGCCCTAAGCCCGAAACCGAAAAGGCTTCTGCCCAACCTTTCCAGAGCCTGTAATCTCTAAACGCTTACAGGAACCCTGATGGTGGTAGGTTTCAGGGGCGTGGGGATGGTGGCTTGTAGGCTCAGAGACAGTTGTTTATGTCTGTATATAAATATATAAATATATATATATATATATATATATATATATATACGCACATACAATATATATATATATATATATATATATATATATATATCAAGCAAAACGAATAAATATGAATGTGCGTGTGTGTTTGTCTGTGTGTGTGTGTGTTTTGAATCGAAGGGGGTGGTTGGGTTCTGCTTTTTGCGTGGTTTGCTGCTTGGAGTAGGGCTCAGGGGCTACATTGGTGGATCAAGACTTTAGGGTCCCGGGCTTTGGTTCCCAGTTCTGGTGCTTTTGGGTTCATCCTGTTGAGCATGAGGCTTGCAACTAAGCCCTAAGCCTTACACTATGTTTTGAACGCCCTATATCACACATGGACGTTATGCTTTGGTGATGGGGCATGGCAGTGTCCCTCATGAGGCTCGAGCCACAAAGGTTAGCAGAAAGAACTCGATGGCGACTTGCTGCACATTGAAATGGAATACCTCTCCACACCACAACCTTATTTTAGCATTAAAGGGAGCTCCAGAAAGTTGGAATATATGGTTTCAGGGTAGAATACTTTATAATTTACCACAAAGGGTTTAGGATAATCATATTCCAACTTTCTGGCTTTTGCTTAAGTCATGTCGTGGGGCTTGATCCGAAGCCTAAACCTGAAACCGTCAGGGTTGACCTGAAGCCGTAAGCCCTCAACCCTGAGCGAGGGATGCCACCGACGACCCTACAACTGAATTTGTCGAATCTTCGCCCTTACACCCGAGGTCTTCAAGCACAGTACATGCAGATTTTTTCACCGTGAATGCCTTTGAGATCTGAGCCTTAGACCCTATAGGTCAAATAACCCCCCCAAGCCTCCACGAAGTCCCTCTACCTACGAAACCTCCGCGTTTCCGGAACCTCGGTACCATGGCTGCTCCGTGGCAGAGCACCCATGCCGAAGGTCGACTGGAGGCGTCCCTCTTGAAAGACTTCCGCGTTTTGGTTTCTTGTTGCATGTATTCATAGCATGTGTACATATTTATGCTTTTGTGCATGGGTATTGGTCTGGTCGATGGTCAGATGAAATAACAGTAGGTAGATACATAAGTACATGGATAGGTACATAGAACAACAGATAGACAGGTAGACAAGACAAGGCAAGATGAGATGAGGTGAGATGATATAAGATAAGATAAGACTTGGATTAGAGTTGGTTGTGTTAGGTGAAAGTAGATGAAACGAGATTAGATTACACAGATATACAGATAGCAAAATGCCTAAGCAGATAGACAGATAGCGCGAAATCGGAATCTCCAATCACTCCTACACTGCAAAGCCTAATCCTAAACTTAAGCCCTCAAGACGATAAAATCCCAAAACGCCAGATCCCTATGCCATAAACTGAAAAAGCAAGTGCAGGCTTGCGCGGATGCTGCGGCCAAGGGCGAGCTCTTGGAACCTTGGAGTGGAATCGATATGGAACTTTCAGAACATTAGGGTCCCGGTTCTGTATCCTAGGCTCCTTATGTTAGGATCTCAGATCTCTGTATTGGGCTTTTGTGCGGCAGCACGGGGATCGATCGGTGTTGCTCGCGCCTGAAATTGGAGGGCTGCTCCCTTAGGGCGTCTAGGTTTGTCTTGCATTTTCAGACTCAGAAGCACCGCATGTGTTCTCCGGGGTTTCTGTTGAGGGTGTTGCGTTGAGGGTTTGGGACTCTCCAAGATCCCGCAAGTCCTGAATCCGAGTCCCTGAACTCGGCAACTCAAACCTTCGAGCCCCACGTTGCTAAGCCTTATAATTACACAACTCCAACCCTAAACCCTAAACCCTGAACCTCACAACCCGAAGCCCTCCAACCCTGCAGCCCTCAGACCTAGATCCCAACACTGCATACCCTAAAGCCCCGGCAGCATCAAGAAAGGTCATCTTGGATTTCGACCGGACATTGACCAGCGCCCCGGCGCTGACAGGGTTTAGACTTAACTTCAGAAAGTTGGAGCATGGATTTAGGATGATCGGTGCTGGGATCCCCACACTTTAGAGGCATGAGGATATCGATGTTCCAACTTTCTGGTATCTACTTGAGGGCAAAAGGAGTTAGAGTTTGGGGCGGGGTCCGCGCCCCCTCGTGGGCCGATGCTCCTTCAGATGGCACTGTGGTCTCGTTTCCTCGGTAAGCAAGGTAACCCTAACCTTACCTTTGGTTAGTAGGGAATGGAAAAATGGTAGTAATAGTAGTTATGATTGTACCCCATTCCTCCATTCCCTACTAACCAAAGGTAACCCTGACCCCTACGTGCAAACTCTAAACTCCTCCTTCTGTAGGATCCTTGGCACCCTGCGCCATGAATCCCGGAGCCCTAGCTTAAACCCGAAACCCTAAACTTACACCAAGCCCTACAGTAAACCCGAAGCGCCATAACTCCCCCTGAAGCCCAAACCCCAAATCCCAAGAGCCCCAAGCTATTCAGCGTCAGCGTCGCCCCAATCCACAAAGGAGACTAGCCCACGCGAATCTTCGACAACGCCATCCTAAAAGCCTTGACCCCTGAACTTCTAAACCCCTAAACACCCTAAGCAACTAAACCCTGAGCCCTCAGTAGCACCTTTGTTTCAGGGGTACTGGAAGTGTGACCAAAGAGCAGCTCAGGCAACTTCATGCCGGATGGCCGCAGGGTGACCTCAGCCCATGGAGTCCTCGAGGACCATCACCGCTCTCTCTACACATATATATATATATATATAGAGGTAAATATAAACAGATAAGAGTAGATATGGATATGTGTTTGTGTGTGTGTGTGCGTGCAAAAAATACAGTTGTTTAGACGTTAATTTTCGGTTGTGTGGTAGTAGGGTGGGTGTTGGGTGTTAGGGTTTAAGTTTTGCTTTTAGACAGAGTGTAGGTTCGGGGTTCAGGCTTGGTCGGTTGAGTTTTTTCCAGCAGGTTTGGATTAGAGTTTTTTTGGCATGGTTTGCTTGGGGTGCACAGGGGCTGTCCGACAGGCTCTCTGCCAGGGTCCTGGAGTTTTCTTTTCAGGAAGACCCTTTCTGTCTCAGGGTTTCGGGGATTTTGGGAAGAGTTCAGGATTGCCGGCTTCTGGGCATTGCAAGGCAAGCTCTTTTGGGATGAAGGAGCCCATTCATCCTTGAAAGAATGCTTGCGAGAACCCTTTCAAGAAACCTTCATAAAGGCAAACCCTGATACTAAAGGTACCCTGGAAGCTACCCTTAAAAGCACCCTTAATGGTACCTTAAAGGGTACCCTTCAGGGCACCCTTGAAGGTAATCTTAAGGGAACCTCTCGGCGGTCGTGAGGACGCCAGTGTACTGTCCGAAGCCTTCAAGACCAAGGCCCAAGAGCTCTGCCGCTTCTGGACCTTAAATTGAGAGTTGAGGGTTTAGGGCTTAGGGTTTTGGGTTTAGAGTTTAGGGTTTAGGGTTTGGGGTTTAGGGTTTATAGGATCAGGGTTCACGGCTAAGGTTGAGGGTTTTGGGTTCAGGGTTTGGAGTTTCCTAAGTGTTTAGGGTAATGGGATTCGCAGGTTTGAGGGTGTATGGTTTCAGGGTTTTCAGGGGTGTAGGCTTTTGGTAGGTTTTGACGTCTAAAGTTCCGTGTGAACACCTCAACGGCTCATCTACAGAGTCTTGAGCTTCAGGGCGAGTTTTCCCCAAACCCTGGAACAAACACTTAACTGTAAACGAACCCTAAACCCTAAACCCCAAGCCTACAAATCCGCAATCCAAGCCAGCTTAAGGTCCCTTGCAGTAGTCCCCAAAAGCCCACTTCCCCGTAGGGAATTGGCTAAGGGGCTGTAGTGACTACTGTGAGGGAACTTGATCGTGGAAGAAGGTTTGGGTCTCTCGATTGTGGAGATACTATAGGGGCGGGTTTAGGGTTTAGGGTTTAGGGTTTAGGGTTTAGGGGTTTAGGGTTTAGGGTTTAGGGTTTTGAGTAATTGCCTATACTAGAATTATAGTCTAATGGACCCCAAAGCCTTATTCTAATTATGCAGGCCCTCATATAATGGCACCTTTATAGATCCCTTATAGTAACCCTTATCGACCCCTTTAAAGGAACGCTATTCCCATTCTCAAGGCCCCTATGGTACACCACCCTAACCCCCTTGCGAAAGCTGAAGGAAAGTATTACCCAATCGAGATCGACGCCGTCTTGCGCTGCCCTCAGTGCTTCGGGTTGTTCAGGGCTTAGTGTTTTGGGGTTTGGGGGTTTAGGGTTTAGGCTGGGTTTGGAGTTTAGGCTGGGTTTAGGGTTTGGGGTTTAGGGTTTGGATGCCAGTCTTTTCGCTCAAGACATCGAAGCCCCCCAAAAATCCCGGAGCCAGCAGGCCTTCGACTCCTTCGACCTCCCTACTACGCTCGACGCCCCGAAGCTTCAAAATTGAAAATGCCCCTAAACGGTTTAGGGTTTAGGGTATAGGGTTTAGGGTTCAGGGTTACTTGAAACCCTAAACCCTAAACCTCTAAGTGCCGCTAAACCAGATTTCCCGACTTCCCGAAACCCAGAAGCTCCGCTTCGCTAAGGTCCATCGAGGAGAAGGAAGCTCGGTTCAATCCGAGGATCCATTCAGCATTGCTGCTCGGGGGTGAGGGTGTTTGCTCTCAGCAATGCACGGCAGTTACTGGAAATACTTGTTCCCAGAATGGACATCCGGCGAGCTCTCTGTTGTTGCTAGGTTCTGGGAAGGCTTCGCTGTTAAACGACAGCCGAAGCCCTGAAGCTAAACCCCCCCAACCTCTAAGCCGTTTCGACACGAAGCCCCCCCTTAACTTAGCTCTTTTTTCGATCAGCTGGTAGAAATCATATAAGAGCTTATCGAATCCCCCTAATCCTACACTCCCTGGTAGACATTCTTGGGAAACCCATATAAGTCCTCATCGAATCCGACCCCCCCTGCTAAGATCCCGATCATGGGCGAGTGGTACGGGCAAGTCCACGAGCTGATCCTGAAGGAGTCAGCTCAGACAGCTGCATCTGGGAGCTACTTTCGTTTCGTTTTTGGGGTTTAGGGTGTAGGGTTTAGGGGTTCAGGGTTTAGGGTTTAGGGTGTTTTGGGTTTAGGTTGTAGGGTTTAGGGTTTAGGGTGTAGGGTGTGGGGTTTAGACCTCGCAGGTTTTTAGATGGCTTCAGAAGGGGCTCACTTTTGATCACTATTGCTGAAATAGGCGTGAAGGCTGTAAAGCAGCAGGACAGCTTAAAAAAGTATCTTTCAGATGAGGTATAGGGATTTGATGCAGAAACGTTCCTAAACTCCAATCCCTAAACCCTGACTGTTTTAGCTTCCACGTCACAGCCCTCAATCCCTGTGACGGGTATAGGCTTCGAGACTATGTGCGGCTTGAAGTATCGATCGTGGAGCTTATGGGATCTGTAGGGGGCCCCATTCGGGATTTATCAGGGCTGGTTTTGGGGGTTTTAGGGTTTGGGGTTCTTTAGGCTTTATTCGACTTTAGAGGCTTGTTTCTTTTAGAGGCTTAGGTTTAGGGGCAATCCAGAAGAAGAGGCACCCGTAATCCGATCCAGAACCTTCCTGTTTTTGTGGCATCCATGTCTACATCCTAATACAGAATCCCTGCAAGCCCTGCATTCGATAGGTTGAGATGGGGCTGGGGTTTAGTTGACAAGCTTTAAACCGTACGCCCTGCGCAAGCTGCGTAAAACTCAGGATTTTATAGCCCAGCAAACACAGGTCGTAGAACCTGCGTGTAGAGTTGTGCCCCCGGAAGGTTACTCGAGAGAACATTGCTGGTGCGGTGGCAGGCTGCAAAACGATTCGTCCCCGTGACGGCATGCTCCGCGGCTTCAACCAAGCAAAAACAACAGCAACGTAAGCGCCTGAAACCTACTCAGGCTTGCAATGCAGCAGCCCTAATGACCACAACTGCAGGAACCCCAAAAGCCCTAAAATCCTAAACCCTCAGCCGTAATGAGTGCTCCGTTCTTGTGTGAAAGTTAGTCAGAAAGTATCCCTGTGATTTTGATTTTGGCGCTGATAGCATCAGTAAAGTTCTGGTGTTACTATTACTATGAAGCTTTCTTTTGGCTTCCCCAGACCCTGCCCGCAGAAATCGTTGCTCCGACCTTCAAGTGTTCCATTGGCAGCTCCCCACACCCTAAACCCAAACACAGTTCCCAACACCTCTCCTCCGGAGACCCAACATGCCCCTACTTTCGGTTTAGGGTTTGGGCTTCCCTGACAGCTTCTGGCTCTGGGATTCGGGCTCCGGCTCAAGGCCTGGCTGTTCTCGTGGCTGCCCAAGAACTCCCCCTTCCTTACATCCACCCTTGTCCTTTGGGTTGATAGACAGAGCCCTATACCTATATCCCTTAATAGGAATTATTTCAGAAGGTCTACTAGCCGGTCTGTTTATTCTTTTGGGGGAGCCATGAAAAAGGACAAGGCTGCATCCCCCAGAGAACCTACCGTCAAGATCCTGCGAGTCTCGCTTCCTCGTGCATCCTGAGACACACACGCTCTCAAGCGCAAGCGACACAAGCCCAGCCTCGGGTATGTAAAGTCTCCACCATGTCATTCTTACATACATGCATGCATGCATATAAGTATATATAGATATGTATATGTATATGTATAATTGTACATATATATATATATGTATGTGTATATGTACATACACACTATATGCACACGCACACACGCATACACATACGCATGCACATACGTGCATGCATATGTACATACCTACATATGTACGTTCGTTCGTACATACTTTGCTTCAGTGGCTGAATGCTATTATATCGGTCTCTTTGCTTTCGCTATTCATTGCCTCCTCATGGCTCGACATTCCGTGTTTAAACCGCTGGCATCGATTTTCGAGCAATCATGGCAAAGTGCCGGAGGACAAGGAACCCCACTAGCTAGCCAGCTCTGATCCTCTTCAGCCCTTCAGTTGAAGCTTGCCGTAAGAAACGAGACTCGGGTTTTCGTGACTTGTAGTGTACAGTCATACAGTATAACTCTGTCGGGATCTTGAGCCCCCTAAACCCTAAACCCTAAACCCTAAACCCTAAACCCTAAACCCTAAACCCTAAAACCCTAAACCCTAAACCCTAAAACCCTAAACCCTAAACCCTATCCCATTGAGCCCAGAGCCCCTAAGCCCTCAAGCTACAACCCAACACCGTTGACGAAGGCTGGACTTCATCAAAGCCTGTCAGGACCACAGCCCGGCGATTCCTGTGTGCTTGGGGTAGCATTAGAAGAACGAAGAAACATAAATCATTGGAAGAATCATGGTTATAATACTTCAGTTAGATCGGTTTGCAGTCGTTAGCGACTGTACTGTATGTGGTAGAACATTGCTAGGTATTGCTGTTGGCGGTGCGGTGCGATTGGATACCCCCTGCAGAAGACACCCACACCCGCTCCATTCCACGCCCGTCAAATCGTCCCATGAACCGCGATGCGGTGTCATGTGGTGTCGGTTCATGCGATGTAGTTTTCTGCGATGGGGATACGGTTCCGTGGCGATACCGGTTACATGTCGATAGAAGGATTGTGGCAACGCCCATGAGAAGCAACAAGGCTCAGTGTTTAGGGTTTGGGTTAAGGGAATTGGGGGGGGAGGGTGTAAAACCTCAACCCTAAACACCGCAGGTTCTCACAACTCTGAGCTCTTAGCCAGCCGCCTCCCAGCCCTCAAACTTCAACTCTAGACGAAAGTCGTATTGGGGTCGTGAAGGAGTAGGAGAACTACTGGGTTCATGTTAAGAAATGTACTTGAGGTTAGCACATAATAGGGGTCTATAGTACATCACAAGGTTTCTTTATTATGGGTAACTTAAGATGAAATTCCTTAACAAGAACCCAGACTACCCCATTTAGTCGCTGTAAGATATCGTACAGCATACGCGACAAGCCTCCTTGCAAGATTAGGCCCCGCTGTTAAAAACAACAACAGTTGACCACCTGAACCGCTTGAAGCATAAACCCTAAACCCTAAACTCTAAGATAAAATCCTGAACGAGCAGCTCTGGAACCCGAACCTTGCGCCAGAACCCAGTTGCACCTGTAGGCTCTCAACCAGAAGCCGTTACCCCCAATACAGGGGCCTGAATAGTGTACCACAAGTCTTTAGGTTTTTAATAGAGTGGAAGATATGAAGCTACCAGTTTAAGTGTGATACTTGAGACTTCAAAATAAGACAAAATCAAACCCTCAACCATGCACTCATGGCTTAAGGATTGTCATGTCGGCCGGCTTGGGTGATGTCATCGAGGACTGGAGGTTCGTGCCTGATGTAGCTTTAGGATTTAGGCCCTTGTAAGACTTTCACATCAACGCAGCTAATCCGGGTTCGAAGGGATTTCGGTTCAATGGGCCGTAGGTTTTGGGATTTGTGGTAGGTGGGGGCTGTTAGGCCGTGGCTAGGATGCCCAGTAGTACCCTTATTCCCTCTTTGTAGTCTTAGGATCTTTATAAAGTTACCCAATACCAAAAAGGGAGCCCCGTTTATTCCTAGCTTACTGGGCATCCTAGGTGGGTGGTTGTCAAAATTAGGGTCCCTTTTTGGATCCTTATTATAATACGGCACCTTATATTTAGCCCAAAATGGGACCATAATTTTGACAACCATCTAGGTGCGGTTGAGCTCGGGCTAAGGGGGGCGGTCTAGCGGGGTTTTTGAAACCGGCAGCCTCTAACTCGCATTCCCGGCCATGCCTCATAAACCCTAAGCCAGAAAATCCTAGTCCCTAAAACTCTAGATGGTTCGGGGGTGAGAGCTTACTGCTTTTGGGTTTTCGATTTTTAGAACCCCACTTCAACAAGCACTCACCCCAAACCCTAGACCCTACACCACCAAACCACAAAGCCCCCTAAGCTCTACGCTCTAAACCCTAAGGCCCCGAACGAGAGATAGAGGGTGCTCTGATTGTGGATCCCTCTCGAGGGACGAGGGCCTTAGGGCCTGGGGTGTAGGATGTAGGATGTACCCTTGTAGATTCCTTGAAGAAGCCATTGTAGCACCCTTCAATGAACCTTATTCCGGCCATGAAGGCCCCTGTCAGCCGCCTTTTGCCCTTAAAATGCTCTCAAAAGGAGCCCCTATTCTGAGTATTCAGGCCTCTGCAGTACTATAGTAGTACAGCCTTCAAGGAACCCCTATTCTGATTATTCAGGCCCCTAGTGGGAGCCTGCTGAACTCCACGCTAGCTTCCCAGGAGTTCCTTCGCCAGACGCTGCCGTTTGAGCGGGCCCCGACCACGCACGTGGTCTCCAACAGGCCCGCTTCAGCTTAAGCCCTAAACCCTAAAGCCTCCAGCCCAAAACCCCAAACCGACCATAAACCCTAAACCGGATCCGAGGCCCCGGGAAGGTACAGGGGCTAACTTTTTATGCAGATGATCGCGGGAACCTCCCGTCTACTCTTACTGTTGGACCCGTTTCTATCATAATCGTTGTTGCAGGAGGGCGGCCATTTATCAGGGGTCTACATCACTTGCCATGTTGCTTCGTCAATAGGATCAGGTTTCGATCCGTGCAGTCCTGCGGGGAAGAAGTGTACCTCAAAGCACATTTTGCATTCAGAAAACATAAAACCAACCCCTGAACCGTAAACCCTCACAAAGGGGCGTTTCTTCTGTGATGAGCATAGAACTTCGTGGGTTCGACTTCGAGGACTGGAGAGCCAATTATTTGAGGGGTTGAGGCTTTTAGGGAGTTTCCGTTTGGGTCTATGTTTCAAAGCTTGAGCCCTTTGTTTGGGACGCCCGGTTGTTGAAGGAGAGGGTAAAGGACTTCACTAAACTTTATACCCTAGACTCTAGACCCGCTTAAGTCTGAAGGGCCCTTATCTGGAATTTCAGCATTCCTAACATGTAATGACCGAGATGAGACCTGTAAGTCACCATCAACATGTCCCAGAGACTCCAACATCCCCTAACTAAAGGAATATTCCTTAAATCATATTAGGGTCCCTACTATAATTTAAGGTATATTCCTTAATTAAAGGATATTAAACCCTAAACCCTAAACCCTAAACCCTAAACCCTAAACCCTAAACCCTAAACCCTAAACCCTAAACCCTAAACCCGTCTCTGGGGTCTTCAGAGCCCTTAGCTCTAACCCGAGAGACCCGAGGCTTACAAGTCTCATCCCCTTTGGCAACACGGTTTAGAGTTTAGGGTTTAGGGTTTAGGGTTTAGGGTTTAGGGTTTAGGGTTTAGGTTTGGGAGTTTCCGAAAATAGGGGTTCCTTATTTTGGGCCCTTATAACAAGGATCCTAGTATTTAGGGTACTCTGTTAGGGTCCCCTATTTTCGGAAACCCCCATTTCCCCAAGCCTCAGAGCTACGAACTTCCACAGAAGCCCTAAACCCCAAACCCTGGCAGAGCTTTTCGCTGCCCAGGCCCCGAAATCCGGAAACCCGAAACCACGAAGAAAACGCAGAGAAGGATGAACCCCTAAGCCTTAAACCCCCAAACCCCTAAACCCCTAAAGGCCTAAACCCAAAAACCCTAAACCCTGGTAGATGCATTAAAAAAAGAAGCCCCAGAGAAGGATGGTCTTCAACGAGGAGGGGCGGCTTGTGGACTTCTCCGAGCCGCTCCTGCACATGCCCGGGGGCTCAACTCATTTTTTTTGAGGTTTAGGGTTCCGGGGTTTAGGGGTTTAGGGTTCAGGGTTTAGGGGGTTCAAGGTTTAGGGGGTTTGGGGTTTAGGGGGTCGGGGTTTGGGGTTTGGGTTGTTTATATAGTAGAGTAAATTTGTATTTTGGGTTTGTCAAGGTAGGGGGGTTTGCGGGTTGTCGGCTGTGGGTGCTCTCATGCCGAAATCCCGAAAAAGTTGGAGGCGGGAAAGACCATGCCTGGGGTCTCGGGTGGGCACTTGTTATTAGAGGATATAGGTTCTTGTAGTAGAGCGCCTCCGTTGTAGGGTTTACAGCAGGATTGCATGGGCGCTCTGCCGCTGTTCCAACCTCGCGACTGTATGTGTATGTGATGCGGTTTCACAGAAGTTCATTCTGATAAGGACCACCTCAAAGAATCGCAGATTGAAGTCTCCTCAAACCCCCTGACAAACCGTCGGCTGTCTCGGTTGTCTCGGTTGAGGTCGGCATGTAGATCTCAACTCGAAGCCCTATACCCAAGGTGTCTTGTATCTTTTCGATGTAGCTCCAACCCTGGACACTGGAAGAAGGAATCCTTGTTTCTTCAGGGTCTACTTGGGAACTAGATTTCAACCGATCCTGAAAAGCAGTCCCCCACCGAAGGTGGGCTGGGGTTCTGGGCTTAGGTCTCTAAGGCTGTTGGCTTAGGATTACAGATTGTAGAGTTCCATCCAACGCCCGAGACTCTAATGTCCCAGTAGCCGGCGCAAATGAAATGCCCCACACTCCCAAAAACCTCAGAACAACCCTAGACACAACCGGAAGTCTAATGCCTTAAGCCACAGACCCTAACCCTAAAACCCTGAACCTTATATAAACCCCCAAGCCCGAATCCCTGAAACCCTAATCCTCAAAGGGGAAAAGGAGGGACCCTTAATGGGGACCCCTACCCTATGATGGGCTATATAATGGGTATATAATGGCTATATTAAGGGTATATACCTCGGGGTCCTTATTGAGGGTCCCTCCTGTTACCCTTGGAAATCCCTAAACCCCAAACCCTACAAGCCCAAAGCTCCAGACAGGTTCAACAAGACAGCGGCCTTTTTTCCCCAGGCACGGGGGCTAGCACACTTCGGCTGTTTGTGGATTTCACTGTAGGATTTCTATAGGCTTTTCTTGATGGGTTTATTGAAGGTTTTATGAAGTTAAAACGGGAACAAATAATAATCGTGGTTGTAAGTAGGTCAACCTAAATGACCAGAACAGCCTATCACCTCCAAGTACGGTGTTTGCAGCCGCACCTGTAAGTGCGCACGAGCCTGCAAGTAGCCTTCGCCACAGACCTGGGCTTCAATAGAATGTACACAAATAGCTCCGTCAGATAAGGAGTAGACCGCAGATTGCGATTGGCATCCTACCCAGGTTTTCGATGCACATTTCTGGATGAAGGGCTTCCTGGTTCTTTGGGTACTCGTAGCCGTTCTTTTTTGTTCTGGAGCCGCAAAGCAGGTGTTGTCGGGTTTAGGGTTTACGGTGTAGAGTCTGTTGTTTGGGGTGGGCAGGGTTGGTCCCAGACCCGGTAGGGTGTACCCAGAGGTTCCGAACTCCCCGTAAGAAGGAGCCCTGAACCCTATATTTTAGAACCCTAGTATAGATCCCTTATGAACCCCGTTAAGGGTCCCGTTAAAGGGAACCCTATTCTAGTTATTTAGGCCCCTACATTAAATCCTTTTTCATAGCCCTTATAGTAGTCCTAGCGAAGCCTCGTATATACCCGTACACCCTATTCTATTGGTCCCCTGAAGCTTAAACTCATACCAGGCGACCCGAGATTTGGCGAAGGGCAAGAGCCAGTGCTTGCTGATGGGCGATGGCGTGGGCGACTGCCCTCTCGGCTTAAGAACTCCTTCAAGGGCTCTTTGAAGTGGTCGAAAAGGGATCTCCAATAGGGTTCTAAAATGTAGGGTTCAAGGGTTTAAAATGGTGTTGGGTTCCGGCAGAGTTTCCTTTTGGCTTGCTCCAGATTTCTTCGATGGTTTGATGAACTCTCTAAGAATAAGAATTGGTTCTATCAGGTCCCCAATTCTTATTCCCAAATCCTAAAGCAAAATCCTAAAGCCTGAATCCTAAAGCGAAATCCTAAAGCGGGCCTAAAGGGTAAAGGTTTGAGGGCTCGGAGAAAGACTTCGGGTTTTCAGATCTGGAGTGTGCAATACCGCTGATGGACAAAATCCTGCATTACCCATTATAAGGAATATACCATAATTCCCATAATTTAGGGTCCTTAAGGTCATGCAGGAGTTTGTCCATCAACAGTATGTCATTGGGGGTGTAGAGAGTAGGGAGTTTGGCGTTTACCAGTGAAGGGTTTTTATAGTAATACGGAGGTTGGAAAATTAGAAGTAGTGGCCCCTTATAGTCCCAAATGCGGTTAACTTCATGTTTAGGGGGCCCCGAAGCAGCATTCCAGTCCAAGTCATGATATCTTACGGGTATGAGGTGTTGACTTCAAGATTTCTGCAATACTGGGCCACGTTGCTCGAAGTCATCTGGGCTTTGAGTTCATCTAGAGACTCCCGATCCCAACCCTTCCTAAACCGTAAAACCCGAACCCCTAAACCGCTAAGCCGCACGGAAAGCCTTAAACCGTAGACCCAGAGCCCTAACCCCTAAATCCTTAAACCCTTAACCTTGAGCCCTTAAACCCTCAAGCCGCCCTGAACCTTAAGTCCTAAGCCCTAAACCCTCAGCCCCAAACTCCCTCAGCCCTAATCCCTGAAGATGCTCTCAACCCCAAACCCTAAAGCCTAAAGCCCTAAACTCGAAGCCCCAAACTCCCCAAGCCCTAAACTCCCCAAGCCCTGAACCCTAAGCCCTAAACCTACGCCTTCATCCTTAAGCCCCAAACGAAGCGCCGAACCTCAAGCTTTAAATTCCCTAAACCCTAAGCCCCTAGAGCCCAAACCCTAAACCCTAGACCGTAAGCCCTAAACCCTAAGCCCTAAGCCCTAAACCCTAAGCCCCAAACTCCCTGAGCCCCAAACTCCCTAAGCCCCAAAGAGTGAAGATGCTCAAGGCACCATGTCTCAGGGCTTGGACCTCGAGCCCTTCAAGGCTCGACTGACTCACTGGGGGTTCCCTTTAAAGGGATCTACAGGGGTAGAGTTTAGGGCTTAGGGTTTTTTGGGGTTTTGGGGTTTTTTTTTGGGCTCTTAGAGTTTGAGGCTTAGAAGATTTTAAGGAATTCCGATCTAGGGCTGCTCGCTATGGTGCTGTTTGTTCCTTACGATGTTGTTCGTATTGATAGTTTTAGTGTTTCGGGTTCTGGCTGCGCAAGTAAGAAAGGCTGAAACCCGGGATACCTGGGAATCTAGCAAGTGTGTCTGAAAGCATTTAGATGGTCTCTGCACTGCTCTGCAGAAGCTGAAGACTCCAAGTATACAAATAAACAATAATCACCCTGAGCTCTGAACCGCAACCCGTTGAGCTACTTCTATGATGTTTGTGAACATAATTTGCGGTAATCTCGAATTATGAGGCTAAATACGCCACAAGTGAGCAACTCGAACACCCAACTCCATCCTAAACTCTAAATAATAAACCCTACACCCTACAGTAAAGCGTAAACGTTCAAGCCTAAAGCCCAAACCCTACAGCCTGAGCCCTACAGCCCAAGCCTTAGCCCCTAATATAGGTGCCTTAATATTCAGAGTAGGGTTTTGGGGCAAATTATACTATAGATATAATAAGGCCCCCCCCGCCAAATGGTACAGGTAACTATTGAGGCCCCCATCTTATCGGCACTCTTACCCTGAACCCTGAACCCTAAACCCTAAGCCTTAAACCCTAAACCCTAAACCCGAAGTAACCCTTGAATTCCCAGATTGGTTTCCTGAACGAGAAGATCGAAGAGAGGATGCCGGAGCAGTTTGGCTCGTCCACAAAGCTTCTTCAGGGGTTTAGGGTTTAGGGTTGCTTCTTCAGGGGTTCTATTGGGGATTCTGGGGACCTCGGACATGGAGAGAACGTTTAGCCTGTAATTTTTGAATTTTGAAATCAGATCTTGCTCAGAGAAAGTTTGAGTTTTGTTTGTTTGGGGCATGGTTAAAAGGACATGGCAACCAGAAGAATACCAGGTTCGAGTATTGAAGAAGAGACAAAGGGCATCGCAGCCAGAAAATATGTCAGGTTCGAGGCATTCTGGGCTGCACCAGAGAGGGGCGGAATAGTCTGGAAGGCAGGGTAACGGTTGATGATATAAATCCTGCATTACCCATAATAAGGAATATACTATACCATAATTCCCATAGTTTAGGGTCCCTAAGGTAATGCAGGATTTATATCATCAACCGAAGTAGCCCTAAACAAGTGTATTTCCGGAACCAAAATAGGAACGGGGTACAAGAAGGATCCACTAGAGTTATAGTTGGTTCTAGCAATGCCCGAGGTATGTACTACCTTACTTACCTTAAACCCTCTTTCCTTATATGCCCATTGTACGTTGAAGTATATCCAGACCCTGAAGTAAAACTGACGGTGTCGATGTTTAGGGTTTCGGGTTCTGGAGAGTTCGCTAGGTCTTGGGCTTCAGGCACCTGCTTTCATGCATCGCCTCACACTTATCAGCTCGTGATACAGCACTCCAGCCCAAACTCTAAGCACTTCCAAAAACTCACACGCCTCCACATGAACACAGCCCCAGAGTAAACACAGGCCCCCACTCTAAACTGCCCAATCCCCCAAGCCAGAAACCCCAATGCCTAAACGCTAAGCCCCAGACCTTAAAGCCCAAACCCCAATCCCTAAATCCTAAACCTAAAGCCCTTAAACTCCTTCAGGTTCCAGCAGAAGTTCGACGTCGTCGTCGCCGGGGATGGCCCTGTCCCCCCACTGGCCTTCCGCGCCATCGGCGCGGCGCCGGGGTCAGAAGAGCCGAGCTGAGAGCCGCGGTGAGAGAAGCTAACATAATGGTGTAAGAAGAGTTTCGGTCTTTATGGGGATTTGTAGGGTTTGAAAAGGTTTTTGTAATTTTTGTGGTTGGGGGTTTAATGTTGCTTTGTAGAGTGTAAGACTGTGAGACCGATTCAGTCATTGGTCCTGAAACAGGTCGCTCTTGAGTTATCGCAGGGTGTATACTTCCAAAACAGTCTTTGTCATAAGCCCTAGGTTCCAAGTTTTTAAATCCCAGCTCGTCAGCCCCAAAGCCCAATTCCCTAATCCAGGCTCTCGCAAACCTCAGCTCCTTTTGGGACGAGACTTGCGGCAGACAAAAAGGGGGCGATGCTTCTTTTTTGCTGGGTGTTGGTGCAGGGGCACTATAGGATACCATACCATGCCATAAATACCATACTATACTCCACTCTACTATGCCATAGCGCAAAGCGCTGTTGCAATGTTGAGGCACCTTTATATGGTAGCTTGGTATTCCTGCTTGCGTTCTGGGCCGTGTCACAAGCTTCTCTACGTAGGACCCTGTAAACATGAGACTCTAAACTTGTAAATCCCCATCTCTGAAGCTTGCATTCTCAACCCTAAACCTCAAAGCCTGAACACTCGAACCTACACATTGTGACCCAAAGCCCAAACAACCTAAACCCTCAATCGTTGCACTCTAACGACTCCGAAGAAGTCTTGGAAGCATTGGAGCCGAAACCTAAACCTAAAACCTGGCTTAGTGTTTACGCCTGCAGCCCCAAATCTGAGCTCAAAACGCCAAGAAATTCTCCCTGAGGGCCAAAGAAGCGGCGAAACCCTCCAAGTTAAGGATTTAGGGTTGCGAAAAAAAGCAAAACACAAAGCCCTTGAGCCCTTGCAGTTTAGGGTTCGATGGGGCTTTACCTACACCAGCTCAAGCCCTAAGGCGCCTAAGCAGAAGCCTCTCGCCAATGTTTTAGCGTTACTTTGGGGTTTTGTTAGCTTTAGAGTTTCGCAAGCAGAGCCCGAGACAGTCAACCCAAAGTTGTAAACCCGGCGCCGTAAACCGGAAGCCCCACACCCTCCACCCTGAACTCTCAATGGCCTGAAAGCCTGCATGCCAAAACCAGTAAGACAGTAAACCGCCAAACACTGCGGAGCCCTAATATCCTGAAGCCTTACAGCTAAGACCCTAAACGCTGGTCGGTAAAACCTCATAAATGCTCAATGCCACATTAAAGCCATGATGTTTACCCCCAAAGAAGCACTTTAGAGAGCCCCCTAAAACGCTTTATGCCACCACATATAGCACCTTTGACCCGCAAACACGCCAGCACGAAAACTCGCAAAGCCTAGGCCCTACAGGGGGCCCTTTGCTCACCAAACCCTCCGCTCCGAGGTGTGGAAGTTCTTGGGGTTCGATCCGACGACACCGGAGCACCTGCAAGAGGAGTTCGAGTTATATAGGTTACATGAGGGATAGGTAGCTTTGCAAGGGCCACAATGTGAGGCTTTGTAAAAGTCTATCTCTATCAGGGCTTTATCGGCATTTACAAGAGTTTAACTAGAGAAGTTCTACAAGGATTCTAAATGCAATGGTTCGTGAAGGGGTCTCACCAGGATTCTATGCGTTCAGCGTCAGAGCTTTGAGGTCTGGGGCATATTCTTCTTAATATCTTATTGTATCTTTGCCGATAGGAGGGGTGCTCGGGTTTTGGGGTTTTTAGATTTCGGGGCTTATGGTTCAGGAGTTTTCATGCTTAGGCATTGGCGGTCCGCAGCATGTGGCAGTCCTTCCTGGGATCCTTACGCAAAGCATTCAAAACTCAATGTCGGAATTAGGGTCCCTAAGGCCCCAGACACAAACCCTAAACGCTTCTTTGCGGAAGATCCCTCTTGCTAGTGTTTCGAGTCACAGAAGGCCTGTGGTCTCTAGTGACAACATTGATCTCCTGTGTGAGGCTTCGTTTGGGTGGTGGTCTATGTCAGGTAGATATATACCGGAAATGCTTTGCTAAAGCCTAAGCCATTAGGAAAAACCCGAGCAAGGTTTCAAGTTTGGACTGCTAGGATATCTTTCCGAAACCTTGAGCCCTAACCCATAAGCGGCAAAATCAAATCGTAAAACACCAACCCTCCCTAAACCCTAAACCTTCCGGAAGAGGAGCATGCCGGCGCCATCTACACCACTTTGCTGTGCTGGCCCTCCTGTGTCACAATCCCAGGGGTTTAGGGTTCAGGTCTTACTGCGGGGGGCTTTGATATTTTGCCCTGTTTGCCTTGATTTTGGGCCTCAGGGTCTTTAGAGTCTTTAGAGACTTGGAAGCTTTGTTTTAACTTGGCTCTGTTAGGGTTTAGGGTTTACAGGTAATATTGTGCGCAGCTTGAGAAGCGCGTGTTGTTTTTGTGTTATCAGAGAATAGGGCAGCAAGTACGCCGGAGCCGGCTTACTTCCTCGGCAGACCTCCAATTATTCCATGTGGAGCAGTTTCTTGCAGTTTTGTCGGCAACAACATGAAGGCTCAGAAGGACCTCTTCGCTGAAACACTTGAGACCTTCACCACCCTAAACCCAACACCTGAATCCTAGTTCCTACATCCCAGCATCCGAACCCAAAAACCTAAGCCTAAAACCCCAAACCCGAAAACCTAAATCAACAACCCCGGACCCAACATCCAAAACACCACACCCTATACCCTAAACCTTAAACCCTACACCCGGAACCCAAAACCACAAACCTTAAAACACTAAACCCTAATCTAGCATCCTAAATCCTAAGCATGAAAATCTAAGCCCTAAGCCCTACACCTAGACCTAAGCCTAAACCTCAATAGACTAAGCCCTCGTCTAACATCATAACTAAGCACCAAAGTCTAAACCCAAAGCCCTAAACCTAAAATCTGAAACATCTTAAACTCCTTCAACTCAAACCCCAAGACCCTAGTTAAATCCTAAACCCCAAACCCTTAACCCTGTAAACCCTGAAGGCCCTGAAAGCCCTAAACCCTAAAGACTAGACCCTAAACCCTAAAAACCTAAACCCCAGTCCAACCTAAACTCGTTAAACTCAAACCCCAAAAGCCCAGTTAAATCCTAAGCACCAGCATCCAACATCATGGCGTCTCGCCTTGGCAGCCTCCACCGGCAAGTCGCCAGAAAACCCTTAGCCGGTCTCTCGGCTATCGTCACCGGCTCTACCAGTGACTGGGTAGGCCTTTAGGATACATTGTTCTCCTCTTTCTATGTGTTTTTTGTTTGGCCTTTTAGCCTATTGGGCTTAAGATGATGCTGTAGAGCCAAGTTTTTATGTGTTTTTTGTTTGGCTTATTGCGCTTAAGATGATGCTTTAGAGCCAACGACAGTAGGTGGTATTGGACTTGGGATTGCCCAGTGCCTGGCCATGGAGGGTGTCTCCGTCGTGATGAATCTTGACCGTGTTTTTGATGGGCTTTTGGGACTTTAACTCTCAGTATTTCTCTATCATTCCCATCATGGCGGCTAAGGAACGGGCTCGGGAAGGAGGAGGACATCAATGCTGCCGTGGCATCTGTCCGTGAGCGTGCAGCAGCCTTCGATCAGTTTGCCGCTAAGAACGAGATCACAGTCCCCGGGCCCACTGTTGTCACTAGCCATGGGGCGAACTTGATGAAGATCACTGAGATGAAGCAGTTAGTTTCATTTGCAAGGAGCCAAGATGCTTTTGGAAAGCACCACGATGGCAAGATCGATATCTTGGTCAACAATGCTGGGATCCAGCATGTGGCCCCTATTGATGACTTCACATCGAAGGCCTGGGATCGAGTCATTTCCCTCAACCTGAGCTCAGTCTTCCATATGACTCGGCTGGTTCTGCCCTCCATGAAGGAGAACAAGTTCGGTCGCATCATCAACATTGCGTCGGTCCATGGCTTGGTGGCCAGTACAAATAAATCTGCCTATGTTGCTGCCAAACACGGCGTCGTGGGCCTCACGAAAGTCACGGCACTGGAGACTGCTACGGAAACCAACCTGACTTGCAACGCTGTTTGCCCGGCCTGGGTTCTTACGCCGCTCGTTGAAGCTCAGGTTCATGCCCGGGCGAAGGACTATCTGGTTCTTAGTAGGGAATGGGGGAATGGAGCCCTATGATAGTCCCTTAAGGTCCCTTATAGTAGTCCATTAAGGTTCCTTATAGTAGTCCCTTAAGGTCCTTTGTAGTAGTCCCTTAAGGTTCCTTATAGTAGTCCCAAGGTCCCTTATAGTAGTCCCCATAACCCATTCCACCATACCCTACTAAGAGCCAGACAGAGGAGGAGGGTATCTCTGTGGACGAGGCCAAGGGCCTCCTGATTGGCGAGAAGATGCCCACGAAGGACTTCGTTGCCGCGGAGGAAATCGGCAGAGCCTGCGCTTATTTCTGCGACCCTGAGAACAAGGGAAGCACTGGAACTATCCTTACCGTGGATGGCGGCTGGATCAGTCAGTAAGGAAGCATAAAGAAAAAATGTAGAAGTAGTTGCAGCCGCTGCATCTTAAGATTTCAGGTAGAAGTGCTGCTTACTTATGTTGGGTTTTGTAAGGCAAAGGTCTCTCTCTCTCTCTCTGTCTCTCTCGCTCTCACAATCTATTTCCGCGAGGGCTTGTCTTCCTCAGGCAGCTTTGGATCACTTGTGCGTGCATACATACACCTCGTCTAGCTAAGCCCCGATCCGTTCTAGACCCTTCAGCCGATGCCAGCGGCTATTATTCATGGCGGCAGCCGGCCTTGAGCACTGAGCCCTCAGCTTCAGGCCATGTCTCTGGCATTTGCAGGTTAGGTTTCGGGAAATTGGCTTACATAGGGTTCAGAATGTTAAAGTATCGTGGTGTAGGATTCACCGTTCGGGTTTGGGGTTACGCAGAGATTGGGGTTGATAACTTGAATCCTAGTGTTTAGGGTAGCCGAGAGAAGGAGTCTCTGGGTTCTTGGTAATCCAAAAGGCCCTAAACCCTGAACCCCTCGCTGACTCCATAAAACCCTACTAGACACACTCCATGAAACCCTAAATCCGTCAACTCCGTCAAGCACAAAACCCTAAAGCTCTTACTACCTAGCCTGTGTGCGGATGGACTTTGTCTCTGTCCATGGGGTCCTGGGCAAGACAGGAAGGATGTGCATGGCCTTTGTAAAGCAGTCTGTGTAGTGTACTTTCCTGAAATTGTTCGTGCTTCAATTAGAATCGGTTTTGGGGTATATCATTATGTTATGCTTTCACAATTGTAACAATGAGCCGTAGGGATTACTGACTATTCAGGCGTCTAGTTGTGCCCAATGAGCTGTCACTTGGAGTAGTGTGGAACGAAACGGTGTCTCTTTTGATGACAGTTTTACTGTTGGGTTTTGGCTTTGTAGTCTTGCACTTTGGTCTGGTTGGGGGTTGAGGTTGGGCTTCTAGCGTAAGCTGGTTTAGAGCCAGATGAAGCCTCTGTGCATCAGGCAAATTACATCCCATCGGAAAGAAACAGTGACAGTTCTTCAAGGCATTTGTGTCGCTACATGGGGGTCCGAGTATTTCCTGACTATGGGATTGCTGCTTCTAAAGCTCTGGAGTCTTTGAGCCCGTTTTGCTGAACCGAATCCCTACACCATATATTGTGAACCTTTTATCTGAAGCTTAGTGAGGCCCCAGCCCCTTATCTTTGAGAGCCTTATACTACGAGGCGCTCCACTACACCCTAAACCCCAAACCCTAAACCCTAATCCCTAAACCCTAAACCCTAAACCCAAACCCTAACCCTAAATGCAAGCCACCGGCTCAGGCCCTTAGCCCTGCACCCCAACAAGCCGACTCCACCACTTCACAACCCCCCAGATCCTTGGGACCTACTCAGAGGATCATGGGGCTTAGTAAGTATGGTTATAAGTACCCGAATTGGGCTTATAAGTAGTTATAAGTATAGCTACCCTACTTCTTACCCTGGTTACTGAAGTCGGGCCTTCGACCAGGCCCTGATGTCGGCCGGGATGAGAGGCAGACTGCTCGGGCTTGCTCTCCGAATGAAGCCGGCCTAGAGACAACGGTTCTTGATGTTGATGGGTTTAGGGGTTCTTTATGTGTTCACAGGAGTTGATGTCCAGGCGGATGTAGCGGCTAAAGGATTCAGGTCTTGGAGGTCTCGGGTCAGGGAAGGATCAAGAAACCGAGCTTAAAAGCCCCAAGCGAAGTTACCCTCAGCTTCGGAATATGCATTCTGCCACAAACCCTCCAACTCAGCGGCTGGCCCGCTGCAGGGGTCGGGCTGGTGGGGAGTTTTGCCTTCAGACCCGTAGCGTTAGAGCCTACATGCCGAGTTTGGCTCGAAGAAGACCCCCGAGCCCTGCAGCCCCTAGTGTTGGTCTTAGGCTCCCCGAAACGGAAGTGCAAGGCCACATGTAGGCCCTGCATGTCGATCTTTATCCAACGAGCACGACGCGTAGGACAGTGCACCTGCACAGGCTGACCTCCGAACTTTGGTGCCGGCTCTCTGGCAGAAAGAGCAAGGCCGCGCCTCTCTTGGATGTTGCAGGGAGCAGGGCTTAGGGCACGGCGAACTCCAAACCTGAACTGAAACCGTTGAGGCAGGCGCAGAGTGCAAGGTGAAGATTCGCACATCCCCGCCAAAATAGACCTGGACCATGATGGATCGCGCAGGTTCAGGGACGACAGTATACAGTCTAGAGTTTGTATTTGGGGTTCGAGGTTTAGGGTTTGTCGATGTCTTTTGTTCAGGATTTCTTGGCTAGTTTGTTGGCAGCCGTCAGACACATATTGAAGTTCGGGATCGGGAAGGCCCGCCGTGTGAGTGCGCGCTTTCACTCTTGATGCCACATGACTCCTGTGTTGGAAGAGTCTTTTTGATGCTGGTGGCTGGTGGGCCATGTCCGAAGATAAAGGTGCTTTTCGCAGAGGTATCCTAAACTCGACACACCGAACTGCAACTCCCTGTGCGCAGGACAGCGCTGACTTCGATCGACGACAGCTCTTGATGAGTGCAATTTGCGATGCATTTTAGCATGGCATGTTGCAGGACGCCACACGACGTGTGCACGTTGCATGCTTGCCTGACGGAGGGTGGGAGTCGAGGGCAGTCGGATTCAGGGGCGTGTCAGGGCATCTCTGAACTTTCAACCTTTGCGAAGGTGACATGGGTTCTTCCGGCGTTTGTCGAACTGAGGCAGCCTGTACTCCATCCGGACACGATTCGGGACGAGGCTGGCAAGTATGAGCGTTGCAAGTCGTAGCTTTGCTCGTCACATGTCATATGAGATCAGGGTGTCATATGAGATCAGGGACCGGGCTGCGAATCATTAGTTCAGGTTCGCCGGTCTCAGTGCTGCTTGCTTCGTGGGGCTTCACCACGAGCCCCAAGCATCTCTGCATGCCAGGCTGAGTGCGAGCCGCGGAGCTGCACCAGGCAAGTCTGTCCAAACCGTCACCTTCACTCATGCACCAAGGGCCGACGCATGTCGAGAAGCCTCTGCCAGCCTGCTTTTGCACTTGGATTGTGGATCCTGTTGCAAGATTTGTCTCTCACAAAATGCACTGATGTTCTTGAAGTGACAGCAAGTGTAGACGCAGGTAATCTAGCTTAGCCGCAGAGCTTATGGTCTAGCGCTTTGAGATCCATTCGCCACCTGCAGTTGCCATGACTTCTGCTGATGAGCTTCTGACTAGCTTCGAGGAGTTAGAGGCTTCAGATGCTGACATCCAGGTCTTGCGGAACAAGATTCAGGCCAATCACATCACCGTTGCAGTCATGGCCTTGATGAAGTCTGGCAAGAGCACGTTGCTCAATGCCATGATCGGCCAGGAGTTCTGCCCAGCCACCGTAGAACCTCAGACTGCTGCATTGCTCCGCATCCAGCATGACCCAGATTTCCCGGAGGGGAAGCTGACCGATGCCAATGGGATCACCATCGCGGAGGGCCGCGAGCAGATCTTGAACACGATCATGGCCGCCAATGCTGAACGTCGGAATGCAGTACAGCAAGACATGGCAAGCCCGCTGCATGCAGCTGTGCAGCAAGACACCCCAGCCGTCGTGCCCTCGCCGCTGCTGGAGGGAACTTACAGCACAGTCGCCGAGGTCAGCAAATGGCGGATTGTCGTCTCCATTCACCGCCTGCCATACCAGCCCGGGTTGTTTGTGGTTGTTCTTTCGCACTTCTGCAACACAAGGTCCTGCAGTCCAGTTCAGTACCTTGGCCTGATTCGGGACGCTGAGAAGACTTCATGTGTGGCAAATGTACAGTGTTTGCCAGATGGGCGGAACAAGCGTTTGGAGCTATGGCTTTGGTTTTCGCATTGTGGCCTTGACTTCCAGCTTCAGCAAGTGGCCCCTGATGGGACGAATTATGTGCTGATCCCGCGGCAGTCAGCTCTGCTTCAAGAAGCGCCACCTCGTTTGCTGCGCGCTAGGTGTACCAACGGGGGCTTGGCGTCCTGTTGCTCTTTGACAAAAGGTGTGAAACGACGCACAGACGATTGTGAGGAAGGCTACTGCGAGGTAGGCAGTGAGTTTGTCGTTCGTGCACTTTTCCCTCGGAGAGGCTGCAGCTGGCTTTTGATGGATCATGAAGGCTATTGGCTGGAACTCCATAGCAGCACGAAGCAGCTGCAATTCCAGTTCTTGCATGGTGATCACACGGCCATTGTGCCTGGTGAGCAAGTCCTAGTACGTTGCGACAGCCGTGATCACTCAGCAACTGTCGTGCATGTGGCCTGGACTGGTGTGAAGCCCCTTTACACAGTAAGGCTAAGCTCGTCCCCAGAAAATGAGCCTGTGCGTGTTGACGAAGTGCATCTTGCGACGGAGCAGTTGTCTGCCACTGAAGACAGTCGAACCAGTGCAACATGGCAAGCAGCAGATGATGACAGCGATGAGCTCGTAAAGGCCAGCATGGAGTTCATCACGAGCACCAATGCTTTCACTCTCTTCGTTCCCGTCGAGTCATTCGCTGCCTGCTCGGGCTTGGATGCGGCAGGTCTGATCCTCATGGATACTCCGGGCCCGAATGAAGCTCATGTCGGCTTGAAGATGGACCTCAAAGTTGCCCTTGCTGCTGCCGACGTTGTCATCTACCTCATTGACTATACAAAGCTTGGCACCAAAGACGAGGTGGAGTTGCTGACGGAAATCTGTGAGGAGTGTGGTGACATGCTTGTAAAGGACCCATCTCGCTTCTGGTTCGTATTGAACAAGGTCGATGCCAGGAAGGCGGGGGAGAATGTAGACACAATACGCAGAACGGTCGCAAGAAAGATGAGCTCTTTGCGAAACGCCGTCACGGTTTCGGCGAGGCAAATCTTGCCAATCTCTGCGCAGGGTGCTTATTTGGCACGCCAGGCTTCTAACTCCAGGTGGGAGATTGACATGGGCTTCCGGAACGAGTTTGAGGCAAGAGCCGTTGGGACGGCATCTGCAGAGGCATTCAAACCAATGTTCAGTGAGGAGGAGTATTGGAAGTTTGTGCAAGAGAAGTTCCCGCCTGCGTTGCTGGCGCAGTCAAACTTTGCTTGCTTCGAAGAGCATGTGTTGGTGAGAGTTGCTCAATCGAAAGACCGCATCATGAGGGAAAAGTTCTGCGAAGCAGCGCAGGCACTTCTTACAAGCATGCAGAACTCTGCCAAGTTGACATTGGCAACTCTTCAGGATGCAGGCGTTGAGATCCACCAGCAGAGGCTGAAAGCCGTCGAGCTAAGCGACGGTCTGCACAGGCGACTGCAAGACATGGAGGGTACCATTTATAGCGCCACGCCCGAAGAACCGTTCGTGAGGCTCATAGAGGACCATTTCGAGAAGTTGAAGAACCAGGCGTTAACCATGATTCGGAGTCTCTTCGGTGGCTCGCGTGAGACGACAAAGGGATTGAAGTTCTGGTTGGATGTCGTAGACAAGGACAAGACGTGGCATGCTCAGGTACGTCAGAAGTTCAACAATCGTGAAGATGCTAATTCGTTTGTTGATCGTGAATTCGAGAAGTTTGTGGAAGTCTTGGACAAGTTCTTTCAGACCTCCAACCAGGAGATTGTGACGCAGCTCAACGATGCAAGTGCACAACTTCAGAAAGATATCTTGCAGGCTGCTCAGCCTATCATCAACCTGGTGGTTAAGCAAGCGGGTGACGTGCTGAATTTGACTTTGCAAGAGGAGAGCCTCTCATTCAGCGACATTCTCACCACCGATGTTGAAGGATTGTTGGAACAGGGGCTCACTGCAGGCAGTGGTGTTCAGATCAGCGTTCACAAACAGCAGCACCAGAATGTACGCCTTGTCACAAGGACATGGTACTTTCTGGATCACTTCCTTCTTTGCCCGCAAGAGTTGGAGCGTGCTTGGGCCGAACGAGTCAAGAAGCTTCTCTACAAGATGGCCTGCTGTAGCAAAGACGGGGTTCAGCACCTGATCACAGCGGAAGTCGAGAAAGCAACTGGTCACGTCAAGGAGCGCTGCGCAGAGCTTTCACGGATCTTGTTTGCAAACCGTGAGCAGCTTCTGTCTGATCAGGCAGCTGCCGAGGCACAGAAAGCCCAGCTAGAAGCACAGCTGAAACGCATTGAGGCAACCCGCAAGCTCGTCGAGGGCTTCCGTCCACCTTGTGCCCAAGAAGAGAGCGATGACCTTCGTGAGGAGGAATCGTCACATGACGCTCCAACAGTTCCTCCAACATCCGACGGGGATGGCCACCCGGCCTTCCAGGACGACTCGGGTGTTGAAGCCAAGGAGGTGAGCTCCAGCTTGCCGCCGCTCAAGCCTCTTTGTGGGCAGGCTGGTACAACTCTAACGCTTGAGTGGACCGGGCCAGCAAATCCACCATTTGCTGTGTCTCTCGATGGCAACTTTTGCTCGAAGAGTGGCAAAGGCTTATTTAATTCACCGCTGCTTCCTGAGACCAGCGCCACCATGGATGTGGAGCTGCAGATGGAGCGGGGTGGTGCATGGATCACATATGCCCAAGCATTCAAAGTGAATTGCTCCACACGGTCTCAAGTTGAGCCGTCATGCGGCCCCACCCAAGAAGATGCACAGATTGAGTGTACCCCGACGGCGATGGGAGCACCTGTCTCCGCGACTGGGCAGCAGATCAGAGCTGGGTGTTCAGGCTGACCGTGTGTAGGCTTGTGAATCTGCACTCCTTTGCGCATATCGTGGACGTGCCTCTCTCCTTCTTTGAATGCGACCGGATGCCTGTGTCCCTGTGGGTCCGTCCGTCTCGGTCTCGGTCTTAGTCTGAGTCTTTGTCTCTCTCTCGCCCTCCCTCTGTGTACATTGTATATGTGTGAACGCACACGTGTCCATGTAGGCATGTCGACCCCTGTCTGCAATGGCCACATTGCGGAGAAGCTTGGGAGAGACCGGTATCACACATCATCAAGCAACCGAGGCAGAGACGAAGGGAGGAAGGACCTGTTCTGTAGGTGAAGACAAAGACCTACCGGCGACGAAGACCCAAACTACCCTGCCTGCTCCATCTGGCACGTCCGCGGATGCAGTGCCTGTGTTTGGTCTAGTCTACTTTCGAAGATTTTTTGTGGCCACTCATGTGACGGCTCCCCTTGCCCCGAACTCGAGGTTTTTTGCTTAAGAGGTTTCAGTTCACATGAGCAAGAGCCTCGGGTATACGATCAGGAGTGTGCAGGGAAGCACGACGGTACATGCTAGAGAGCTCGGCAGAACTTCCGAGGCACTTGTGGAGATGACGGCCTGCATCGCCAACTCCACAGCGAAAGAGGACTCCTTCATTGCCGACATCTCAATGAAATTCGAACATTGTGGCAGGAACATCGCCAGATCTGCTGACCAAACATCGGTGGAACGGTCTCGAGGAGTCACTGGTGGAGTCTGCACGGGCGCCCCGTTGCAAAGGAATTCCGCGGGTGGCTTTGAGTTCACGATTCGTGTGGACAGGACCATTCCCACAGGGATGCGGTCTTTTGCTGTCGGCTTTTGTCGCGAGCTCCCCAAGCTAGAGCCTTCCGGACGGGTCTTCACTGATGATGGCGCTGATCTTCCGGATAGCTTGTTGGCCGGCTATGACAAGCGGCAGGCAGCCGCCGTCATCATCGACGGCCAGCGTCAGCAGACCACGTTGAAGTGGAGACCGTTGCAAGAAATCCGGGAGCAACAGCTCATCCACGTACAATGGACCCGTCTTGGCTCTTTGATTGTGTCCGTAGATGGCGAGGTCAAAGTGGACCATGCAGTGTCCCTGCCACCGAATCAAGTGTATCCCCTGGTTGACATTCAAGGGCGTGTGACAGCGGCTTCGTTTGTCATCGTGCGCAGGTGAGGATTATAGGGACCCACTGCTAGTGCAGCCGACCTTCATAGACCAACGACATGTCTATGTATGAAACAAGCTCTTGGGTTTCGGCTTGGTAGAAGGGCCACCAGTTTGCAAGTATTGAGTTTTGTATCAGTGGCTGCCTAGGGTTGCACAGAAAATGCATGGAGGTTGGCAGGAAAAGCAGTGATGTTTAGTTTAGTTTAGATGTTGTTCCGTAGAAAAGGCCTCCTTCAATGAAGCTCGATGTCAGAGACGGCGGGCAGTTTCGACAGAGCGTGGCCGATTCCTTCAGTTCCCTGGGACAACTGTAGCACACTAGGTGTGAGCTCACGGCTGAGCACAATGCGCTTACCCAGAAGTCCGCCGGGCGCAAGAAAGAAGCGCTGTCTTGCCGTCGAAGAGTTAACTGTGTTGCAAATACCGAGATTCAGACCTCGTTGCAGACTTCCGAAATTTGTAGAAAGTCCGTGTCGCCTTAAGATCCTTGCGCTGCCGCCGTGACTTGTGAGAGGCGGCGGACGCGGCCGAGCCGAGGTTTGCCATCGCAGGCAATGGCGTTTCAGAATCGTGAGTCGTAAAGCCCCGGGTTCAAAGGCAGGGCCTACGTCCTAACTTCCTTTATCCTAAGTCGCAAAGCGCTTCCGCACAATCATAGGTCTGGTACGATGGATATGAAGTCGGCTGAAGGTACGAAATCCAAGTTTGCTAGTGCCCCTTGGTTAGCATGATACCTGTCTGGATGAAGGCAACTTGCAACACATGAGGTGTTGGCGGGAGGCCTGTGCCTACGTGCAAAATCCATACGTAGCAAATAGTTGTGTTCACATGGTTCTGTGGGTGCAGCTCTAAATTTCAGCTTATTTCACCTTGCTCCAGCCGCAAACTCGAAACCCTAAGAGGTACTTCTGCGCCACCTTCCGGGCATAGAGTGCTCATGGAGCCTCTCCGGTGCCCCGGGCAGCACAGCTTTAGGCTACATTGGCATTTCAGGATTAGGACCCGGTTTAGGAATGTTGATCTAGGGTGTAGAACTTCGAATTCATGGTGTTGTTTTAAGGATGGGTTAGGACCAAGGTTTTGGGGTTGAGGCTTTATAGGGTTTGGCATTGAAATTTAAGGTTCATGCTTTTTGTTTACACCCCAAATCCCAGACCCTTCACAAGTCAGAGTAAAGTTCGCAGTTCGTCGTTGCCCATGGGGGTTTGGGGAAGACAGGGAAGACTGGGCCTGGTGTATGCTCACCTTGGGTTAGTAGGGAATGGAAGAATGGGGTGCAATTACAACTACTATTGCTACCATTCTTCCATTCCCAACTGACCAAGGTAAGTATGGAAAGCAGTCCTTCAGTAAGGGTCATGCGGAAGGCATCTGGTTTGAAGGCAGTTGTTCTTCTTCTTTGCGAGTTATGTTTATTTGGGTTTAGGGTGCGGGTTCACGGGTTTCTTAGTTCGGCATAGGATTTATGGCTGCAGTCGGTCCAAAAAAATTGAATCAACCTGATCACAGCAACCTTCAACCCTAAACTTTAAACTGCCAAGGACTATGAGCTGTAGACAATAAACCCAAAGCCCTAAATCCTAAACCCAAACCCCACGCCCTAAACCGTAAGCCTTGAAACCCCAGTGGTCAACCCTCAAGTTAACGAAAAACTGTAAGCCCCCTGGCAGTTTTTTAGTATTGAACGCGAAGAGCCCTGTTACAGAAGCCGAAAGTGTTTCCAGTATTGTTCCTTCGGGTGTACCAAAACCCCAAGCCTATGCTAAAGGTCAAGGCGCCCATCTTATACCAGAATCTACTTGGCGGATCATGGGACTTAGTAAGTATGGTTGTATGTACCTTAATTGGGCTTATAAGTAGTTATAAGTGTAGTTACCGCAATTATAACCCTGGTTACTAAGTCCCATGAACCTTTAAGTAGACACCAGGCCCGAAGCTCAAGCTCGAAGCTATCCTGCTCTAGGATCGAGGGCTTTGAAGCTAGACGAGGTGAGGGTGTAGGGTTTTGGGGGTTGAGGTCTAAGGGTTCAGGCTTTTGGGGTTTTGGGGTTTAGGGTTTGATGGGTTAATAAAGAAGCCCCGATATTGTTCCTTTACTACAATCGCAACATAGTATCCCCCACAACCTTTATTCTACTTCTAACTACTAAGGTCCCCATTTCAGGGTGGTTGCAGGTTTAGGTCCTTGCCTATTCGAGGCCTCGTGTGCAGCTGCTCATCCGATCCTCCTCTTCCAGCTCGGGATCAGGCGGCGGAGTGGGACTTGGGGAGGAGGGACATCGAGGCGGAAAAGTGGCTCGGGGCTTACAGTTTATTGGTGCGGCTCGCACTAGACTCATGAAACGCTGTGCCCTGCTCCTGCTCCGCCCCTGCCTCAACCCCCTCCTACCACCTCCACCACCACCGCTTGTATCCTTGTAGGGGCATGACTGACACCAGGAGCAACCCGAGTCAGAGTTGTTCTTAAGGCATGTGCACATCTTGCCCCAAGAGGAAGCACGACACACGCAAGCGGTAGCCGGTAGCAGACAAAGCCTTCGCTGGAGGCGAGTCCGAGCTCGCAGCCATGCCGAAATTCTCGTTGTATACGAGGCTCCGTGCAGCTGACGAGGAGGCCGTCAAGGACCGGCTGCGTGCGCGGCTCGTGTGGTCCCTCGGCCTCCAGAGGGGTCTCCGAGAACTGTAACTGGCCAGTTTCGGATTGTGTTGCGCCGTGTGTTGCATTGTAGCAACGGTAGGCTTAGTAGGAATCCGGAGAAGGTCGCGGCTGCTCGACGTTAGAGGATACAGCAGGCTTGCCGGAAAGCTGTATAGGCCTTGAAGGCTTCTGGGGCTATCTCGTTTATGAATCTGAGCGATCGTTGTGGGAACGCTGAGGCTTTTGGTCGTGCTGGAGACGATCTCCATTCTTTGCTTTCCTCAGGTCGCGACCCTCACGCACGGCGTGTTCTTTCTGATCCCGCTTGGGGCGCTCTTGCTTGCTGCCGCAATCCGCCTGCACTCCAGGCCTCACATCCTGCTGGCCGAGCCACTTTGCATCCTTTGGCCTGACAACCATTCCAGACATGGCCTGGCCCGCGAGCAAGCGCCCAACCTGTGCTTCTGCGGCTTCGTGTGGGCATTGAAGCTTGTGTGCTGCTTGACGTTCTGGGCGAACCCGGCTGCCATCAGCCTGCTGGGGGACAGCTGCCCTGCTTCCGTCCCACAGGCAAACTGCAGCCACTACGACCGAGTAGATTGGTCTGGCAGATGTATGGACGTACATCTCGTAGTCGAGCCGAGTGCTACCAAGCGAACACGCCTTTATGAAAAACAAGACGGTGCCTGCTGGAATCAGTGCTCTGCTTGTCCACCGCATTTCGACAATCAGAGTGTGTGGGGGGGGTCAGGTCATCATGCCTTGTGGCGATCCATGCGCGTTGTCTTGCTGCCAGTGCCTGCACTGCAGCCTATCCTCCACAGTGCCAACTTGGTTGAAGCAAGGATGCCTCGCTGAAGCCTTTGCGCCAGACATTGCACAGGAGCTGTTTGTGTGTGGATTAGGATGCATAGGATCGAACCCAATTCCAATTTCGTACTACGAAGCGCAGACGCTGAGCTTCGAGAATACTATGCTCGCGCAACTTGCTCGGTGCACCTTGGTCCATGAACACAAGTCTACGGAAGTCAATGTTACGGTAGCTGTAGTCTCAGCGTTGCAGTGCTTGCCTTTGGCCTGTTTGGTGGCTTGCCTCTTGCTGAGCATCTTGTTGCATCTGCTGAAGGGCGGAAGTGCCTCTGTCATGCCGGCTGCTGTCCCCATGGACCTTGAGACCATTGAAGCCATCGACGCAAAGGCAGCGCAGTTGCAAGACCAGATCGCGCGCAGAAGGTTGGAATCCTCGCCAAAGGTGAGATTCCAGCTTTGGATGGAGTTTGTTGTTTTCCTGCTGGACTACCTGTCAGACTACAATTGCCTCCTCACGTTTTTCTTGGAGGGAGCCTATGGTGTGGCCGCTGTGCAAATTGTCATCATCGTGGCTCCGGTAGCCTTAGACTGCTACCGTGGTAAGATACAGCTGGTCGAAGTATTCGGTGGGTTCATTGATTCACGGAAGCGGGGCTTTCCTACCGACGACTTCATGCTGGCACTTCGCTCGGAGAAGAGCCTGGAGGCTGCACGCTCAAATTTCCTTAGCCATTTACTAAGTGCTTAAACCCGTAAGCCGTTTGCGAGCTTCGAGGCCCCACTGTCGATGTTCCTCCAGTTCTACACGCTGTTGCGGACCACCAGCCCCTGGTCAATCTGGAGCCTTTGCATCTCCATGCCGCTGAGCATCCTGGGCATTGCAAAGCATGTCCATGCAACCTTTGAGCTTCAGATTCTGGAGGTGTTGACACGGCATCCAACCCAGCACAGCCAGCCCGAGCTACAGACCACACCCCTGGCGACAGCGCAAGGCGCAATGCAAGGGTCCCCTTGTCCGCCAGATTCCACCCAGGTCATTCCGGACCTGCCTCCGGGCATCGCACCAGGTGCCGAGCCTCTTCCGACCCTGCCTCCAGGCATCGCGCCCCGTGGCGCAGTTCTTCCCATCAGTGTGGGGAACTCAAAGGTGAAAGACACTGAGTAGTCTTTCGCGCAACCGATTTGCACAATGCGGTTTATCGCTTGCTTGTGGGATCAGGCCAAGTTGTTTGTTGGCATGCTGCGTTGTCACGCAAAGTCGACTTCGCAGAACGCTTCGGATGCTATCATCCTCTGCATTGTCGTTCTAGCGGGGATTCTCCAACGTCTTCGTCGGAGTTCCTTCTTTTGCAAATTCAAGTTTTCCACCGTGGCGGCATTGTCTGCAATGGCAGAGCCTGCCACGGAAATGAGCTATGCTGTTGTCTCGGCCCGCCGTACGCCACGATACATTCAAGAAAAGAGCTTCAGAGGTACTGCCATCCGAAGCCCTAGCCCTGCAGCTTTGCAGCTGAAACTCGCTGCCGCCGCGTTAAGGACCTTAAGCCCAAACGCTAAATCGTCAGAGGCCTGAGCCCAATACAAGCACGACAAGCCCTGCACTGTAACATAGGCCCCAGGCTCGAAGCCCAATATTTGCCCAAGCCTGAAGCCATCGACGCAAAGAACACGTTAGAATCACGCACTCCAGAAGCCGTTAAAATCGAAATCCTTGTGCTAAAGCCCCAAACCCTCGAAAGTCTTTATCCTTAAGCCCCAAATAGCCTTATGTTGTGATCCTGAAGCCTTAAACTCGCCAGCCAAGCCCTAACCCCTAAAAATCCCGAAATCCCTAAACCCCAAACGCTTGAGGCTTCGGGGGAGACCTATTCCCCGACTGTGCTTTAAGATCGCAGGCTATCAGGTTAGAGCCGAGGGGAGTTGAGAGGCACTCGCATATGGAAGTTTCCGAAAATGAGGCGTACCTTATTTTGGGGTCCTTATGATAAGGATCCTACTATTTCGGGTGCTATACTAGGGCCCCCTATTTTCGGAAACTCCCGCATATTGAAACATGGCCAGCCGTTACTCTCACATTTGATGGAAAGCCTCATGTAGCCTGTCCACGATCCCAACTCCAAAGCCAGAAGGTTAGAGCCTTGGGGTTCAGGGTTTATAGTTTATAGGGTACCTACAACTCCTAAATCTTCAGTCCTAATGCATTATACATTCGTCGGCTAGAGATGGAATCCGACACATCATCAGTCCCGACAGCAAGTGCAAGTGAAGCTCTAACATCGGAAAGCTTGTGCGAGTTTTAGGCTTGTGGGTTTAGGAAGGCGTGGATTCCGGCGCATTTTTCCACGGTTCAGATGGAAACTCAAGTACCGTAAACCTTGAGCCTTAAACCCCTGCAACAGGAAATCCGAGAGTCTCCCCTTCCGGCGACAGTCATTGATGTGGAGAGCGAGGCCCAGCCGTGTCCTCGCGGCTTGGAGTTTGTGGTTTGGGGTTTAGGGTTTACTTGTTGTGGTGGTTGTTCTTTTCCTTTTCAATATTGCTGTTGGCCCTGTTCTTGTTGTTCTTGCTGTCGGCGGTTGTGGTGAAGCTTTCAGAGTTTTGCAACTTAAGACAACTTGTATACATGCACATGCATATGTACATATCCCCCAGAGCTCTTGCGCAAACTATCTGACTTCTCAGTTCTCCGGTTGAAGCCTAACGCTTCAACCCCACACCACGAAAGTCCTTGCAACCCTACACTTCCACCCCGGTAGAAATCCAAAGGACAGGGAATCTGTGAGAATCGCGGCATGTTCAACACACAAATTCCTACTCCAATAATGAAAGCCACTATATTGGAGCTGTTTGGCCAGACTTGCTGTGGGATGCAAAATCTTCGGCTCGTCGATTGCAGGTTACCATCTTGGGACCGTTGCATACAATTTCTGTATGGCTCCCGCAACGGGGATCCTCTTACTTATGATGGATATTTACGACCCTGGAGGTCGTAACGAACCCTCTGCGTCTAGCAGTGGTGCCGCTTTTCGTCTCTCTGCAGGCTTGCTTGTGCTTGATGTAATCTATGTGGAGCGATACAGAGAACGCAGTCATGCCCATGACACGAAGCGTCGCCTGCCAGGGGTGGGCTTTTGGTTTAGAGCCAAGGTTCAGCTTTTTTGGGCTCATATCGTTCGGGTTTTGTGGTAGCTATAGGTAGACTTGCTTTTAACTCCAACTGACTATCGGTATTATAAACCCTATGGACGAGCTTTCACTCCGGGTCATGGGGAAGGCATTTTTTGGGAGGCAGTTGTTCTTGTCGTTAGCGAATTGGGGGTTAGGGCTTGGGTTCGGTGGAAGGTTGGGATTCCCGCACGTTTTGGTTTTGGGTGTCGGATTTAGGGATCTAGCATCGGTACTAAACTACTGCTGATGGACAAAATCCTGCATTAGCCTTTATAAGGTAATATACCATAGTTCCCATAGTTTAGAGTCCTTAGGGTCATGCAGGATTTTGTCCATCAGCAGTAGTGGAGTGAAACCAAAATGAATCCACCCGGAATAGGCTAGATACACTTTGTTGGAGCAGATCCCCGAGGTCGTGGAGGTTTTTCAAGGGCCCTTGTAGTCCCTTCTCCAGAGTATTCCAAAACCCCTTAACATCTAAATCCTCAAGCCATTACGCCCTAAACCCTCAAAGGCTAAATTTCGGTTCTTACCTCCAATTCCAGGCATCGCGTGCGGCTGCCCATCCAGATCTCTTCGTCCTGCTGGACACACAGGTGGCAGTGTGGGATTCGGGGCTTGGGGGTTACTGGTCCGGGAGCTACCACTGGCTGGAGAATTCACACAGAAAAGAACATCAGCTGGACTCGCACTGCATGCTCAACAAGCACTGTGCCAGCGTCTCTTTAGCTGCTCCTGCTCCCGCTCCTCTCCTACTCTTCCTGCTCGTTTCTTCCTGATTCGACGGCTTGTCTCCTTGTGGGGATGGTTGAAGGGCACTCGCATTCTGAAACGTTGCCGCGACTGTAGCTTTGATGGAAAGCCTCATGCAGTAAGCCCACGATACCTACAAGTAATGCAACCACTTGGAGTAGTCTGGGAGACATGGATTCCCTCCCGGTGCGACACAAGTATGCGCGAGGGTGTAGCGTTAGGAAGCCTATACAGTTTTCAGCTGCATATTGCAGGGCGATGCATGTACAGTTCCTGTTGGGATGTTTGGAAGTAGCATCGGCGGTTTGTGGAAGAGCGATGGCTGAGCAACACGGGTGTGCGTGGTGTACTTGAAGCTGTGGCTCTTTGCTGCAGGAGGAGGCCAACAATAGGAAGACATGAATTTCGTGAAGGTGGGTGGCACAGCAGCAAGCAACACATGTGCGAGCAGTAGCCGGTAGCCGACGAAGTTTTCGCTGGAGGCATCGAGTCCGAGCTCGCAGCCATGCCGAAATTCTCGTTGTATGCAAGGCTCCGGGCAGCTGATGAGGAGGCTGGCAAGGAGCGGCTGCGTGCGCGGCTCGTGTGGTCCCTCGGCCTCTAGAAGTTTTTTATTGCGGCTTCGAGGACTGCATCTGACCACACTAAGTACGTACCCAAGTTAAGTGGCATTGCAGGACGCGTTCTTGTGCCATTGTTGCATTTCTAGGCTTCTGGGGCGATCGTATGAACCTAAGGGAAGCTTGCGGGAAAGCTTGGGGCCTTGAGGCTACTAGGGCTATCTCCTAGATGAATCTGAAGGAAGGTTAGGAATGCTGCGGGGAAAGCCGAGGATCCTGGTGGTGCTGGAGACGATCTCCATTCTTTGCTTTCCTCAAGTGGCCACCCTTACGCACGGAGTGTTCTTTCTGATCCCGCTTGTGGCGCTCTTGCTAGCTGCCGCAATCCGTCTTCACTCCAGGCCTCACATCCTGCTGGCTGAGCCACTGTGCGTCGTCTGGCCTGACAACCATTCACGACGTGGCCTTGCCCGCGAGCAGGCGCCCAACCTTCACTTTGCTGGCTTCGTGTGGGCATTGAAGCTTGTGTGCTGCTTGACGTTCTGGGCGAACCCGGCTGCTATCAGCCTTCTGGAAGACAGTTGCCCTGACGCAGTGCCGCGCCCGAACTGCAGCCACTATCGCCGCCATATTTGTCTAGACGCAAATCTCGACGAAGACCGCCACAATGAACGGAGGGAGGACGCACACAAAAGCCTTCTTTCAAATGAACGCGACCCATGCTGGGATCAGTGCCATGGTTGTGGGCCAAGCGAAGGGATCTCAGCTTCCACTGGGCTTCGCTATGAGATTCAGAGCTGTTCGAGTCCGTGCGAGTTATCTTGCTGCCAGTGCATGCACTGCCACCTTTCTTCCACCGTGCCTCTTTGGTTACAGAAACAATGCAAAGATGGAGTTTTTGCTCCAGAACTTGCAGAAGAGCTGTTTCACCGTTTCGCGAGTGAGACGCCTCTGCCGTATTTTGAAGCGCAGACTCTCAGCTTCGAAAACACTATGTTCGCGGAACTGTCTCGATGCACCTTGGTCCATGGAGACAAGTCTCCGGAAGTCAAGGTTGCGGTGGCTGTAGTCTCTGCGTTGCAGTGCTTGCCTTTGGCCTCTTTGGTGGCTTGCCTCTTGCTGAGCATCTTGCTGCATCTGCTGAAGGACGGAAGTGCCTCTGTCATGCCGGGTGCTGTCCCCATGGACCTTGAGACCATTGAAGCCATCGATGCAAAGGCAGCGCAGTTGCAAGACCAGATCGCGCGCAGAAGGTTGGAATCCTCGCCAAAGGTGAGATTCCAGCTTTGGATGGAGTTTGTTGTTTTCCTGCTGGACTACCTGTCAGACTACAATTGCCTCCTTACTTTTTTCTTGGCGGAAGCCTATGGTGTGGCAGCTGTGCAGGCTGTCATCATCGTTGCTCCGGTCGTCTTAGACTGCTACCGTGGTAAGATACAGCTGGTCGAAGTCTTCACCGGGTTCATTCAATCACGAAAGCGGGGCTTCCCTACCGACGACTTCATGCTGGCGCTTCGCTCCGAGAAGAGCCTGGAGGCTGCGCGCTCGAAGTTCCCTAGCCACTAAACCGCTAGGCCCTCGGCCCCTGCACCCAGTCCCTAAAAAACTCCACCCCTAAACCCCCCCCGTGCCCTAAACCAAAGCTAAAGCGGGAAAGAGCCCTGAGGCCCCGCTGTCGATGTTGCTGCAGTTTTACATGCTCTTGCGGACCACAAGCCCCTGGTCAATCTGGAGCCTTTGCATCTCCATGCCGCTGAGCATCCTGGGCATTGCAAAGCATGTCCATGCAACCTTTGAGCTTCAAATTTTGGAGGTGTTGACACGACGTCCAACCCAGCACAGCCAGCCCGAGCTACAGACCACACCCCTGGCGACAGCGCAAGGCGCCATGCAAGGCTCCCCTTGTCCGCCAGATTCCACCCAGGTCATTCCGGACCTGCCTCCAGGCATCGCACCACGCGCCGAGCCCCTTCCGACCCTGCCTCCAGGCATCGCGCCCCGTGGCGCACTTCTTCCCATCAGTGTGGGGAACTCAAAGGTGAAAGACACTGAGTAGTCTTTCGCGCAACCGATTTGCACAATGCGGTTTATCGCTTGCTTGTGGGATCAGGCCAATTGGTTGGCATGCTGCGTTGTCGTGCAAATGTAACTTCGCAGTACGGTCCTTATACAATCATCCTCCGTGTTGTCCTTCAGGCGGGACTCTCCAACGTTTGCGTCGGAGGTCCCTCTTCTGCAACTTTAATAGTTCCGCCGTAGCTGTTTGGTCTGCAATGGCAGAGCCCGCCACGGAAATGAGCAATGCTTTTGTCTCGGCACGTCGTATGCCAGAACACGTTCCAGAAAAGCTTCAGAGGTACTGCCAGCCGACACCGAAGGAAGCCCTGGTTCAAGCATATCTGGCTACCGTACGGCATTGCGGCTTCCCAGCTGAAACTCGCCGCCGTCGCGTTAAGGACCTCAAGCCCAAAGACCTGCGACAGGACGTCCCGGAGCCTCCCCTCCTCGGCGACAGTCATCCACGGGTGGAGAGCGAGGCCCGGTTGTGTATAGGTATAGGTGGTTCAGAGCTTGGAGTTGGGTCTCAGGCTGCTTTTTCAAATAAGGCTGGCAAAAACGCTGTTGGTTGTGATGTCGGTGATCGTGATGGTCAGTGAAAGTGGTGGTCTAGAAGCTCCATGGTAAAGAGGCATCGGGAATCCGCGAGAATTCTGTAGGGAGTAGGGTTGAGGGTTCGGGCTTTAGGAACTGGGGTTGAGGTTTCAGAATTTAGGGTTTGGGTTTGGAGTGCAGGGTTGGTGTCGTGGCTGAGGTTTTGTTCTTTGTCGAAGCTAGTGGAAGGTTTGAGGAGTTTAGGTAGGGTGCTGTAGATGGTCGCGCTTGTGTGGCCTTGGGTTTGGGTCCTTGGAGCAGACTTTGGGATCCGCAAGAAACGACCCTAAAGCCCTCAGCCCTAAAGGATCCCTTAAGCCCTAAACCCTAAAGACCCCGTGGCCGAGCTCCGACGCTCTTTGAGTATTGTAGGGCATCAGGGCTCAGGGCTGAGCCCCTGTGGAGTTCTTGGGCCACTTTTGGGCCTCGTGGGTTGAAGGGTTTCGGATCTCTTAAACCCTGAAGCTGGGAAGCCTAAAGCGCTAGCCTCCCTCTTTGAGACAATGAGATGTTCCACTCCCGACATCCTTGCAGAAAGGCATTCGGGATGCCAGAAACCACGCCGGATCCTCGTTGCACACTGGTCGTTGGGCTTTTTTGGATGAAGCAGGGCTTTTGAAGTATGAGGGTTTCCGGCTTCCGGGTCCCTGCGCTCTGGATCCTACTTTGCTCTCTAACCCAAATCCTCTAAACCCTACACCTTCAAACCCCTCGGCGAGGGAATCTGCGAGACTTTGGGTGTCAGGCTTTGGCGAAGGGCTTTTCTTTTTTGGAGGGTTTAGGCTTCTGCATGTGGTTGCACTTTTTGGGCATCGGGCTTGGGCGATTTCAGAGGAGGTCTACATGGGGCTGCTTAGGGCTGTGGGATTTTGAGCGAGTTCTGGATCGTCTAGGGTCCAAGGCTGCAGGTTTCGAAAGTAATGCAGGGGTCATGGAACGAAGAAGAGGATATAGAACTGTAGAAGGATGAGAACCTCTGTCTACTTCTACTGCTTCTCCGGAGCCTTGCATGTTCTACATGTGTTTATACCCTGTGCCATGCGCGCCGAACCACTCTGTATTTCGAAATGGTCCTGCTACTACAGCCTTTCTCCTTTCTGCAGGTCTGGCTTGTACTTCCTTTGTGGAGCGATGCAACCCTGAAGCCTAACCCTTAATCGTCAGAGCCCTAAGCATTCTGCCGCAAATTGTAATAAAGGCACGAGTGTGTAAAGCCATAAATTGCTCGTATATTACCATTCTCAAGCCGTAGATATCAATCCTTCAACCCGCAAAGCCGTGGGCCCTGCACCCTCTGCCCGTCACTGGTAGCCGCTATTCCGGGAGAAGTTCACCTGCACGGCCCATCCCCCCAACGCCAAACCCCGGCACCCTAAACCCTAAACCCTAGACCCCTAAAGCCTAAATTCCCTAAACCCCTAAATTCCTAGATCCCCAATCCTAATCTCCAAAACCCCAAACCCCAAACCCTCGAGGCTTCCAGGCGGGGACTCCTTTATTCGAAGGCTATCAGGTTAATTCTGAAGCTGTCGGCTTGAGGGGTTTAATCTTGAAGCCTCAATAACCCACCACTCTTATTCCTGAGGGTTTCTTCTTGCAATCACAATAGCGTAACCCGCACGACCTGATTTTGATCGCAAGGCCCGATGTTAGCGTGTAGGGTAGGCTTCATGTTTCTCGGCCCACTTCGAGGTGTCGTGTGCAGCCGCCAATCCAATCCTCTTCGTCCAGATCGGGAGAAAGGCGGAGTGTGGGATTTGGGGCTTGGGGTTGCTGGTGGAGTACTGCTGCTGGTGTTGATTCGGCTAGTTTCTTTGTGACTCGACGGCTTCTATCCTTGCGGGGGCGTAGTTAAGGGGCAGGCATGTTCCGAAACGTAGCCAGCCGCCACTCTCAGGTTAGCCAGCCGCCACTCTCACGTTGATGGAAAGCCTCATGTAACCTTCAGCGATGTCAGCCCCAAATCAGGCTGTAGGGTTTCCTAATGCAATATATACTAGTCGGTGAGAGGTGGATCCCGACACATCATCAGTCCCGACAGTAGGTTCACGTGAAGCTCTAACATCGGGAAGAACGCTTATGCAGTTTGTCAGCTGCACTGACATGTCAGGTGGATTCAGGTGTGTCAAGCTTGTCTACGGTCAACTTCCATGAGGTTTCGCGCAGGAGGGGATGTTTGGAAGTCAAACTGGCTTCTCTGGGTTGCACATGGCTTTGGGTATGCATGGGTGCTTGACTGCAGGCATTTGCAGCCGGAGGCCAACAACATGTGCCCGTACCCAGCTTGAACCAACAGCAGGCACGACATACGCAAGCGGTAGCCGGTGGCAGACAACGTCTTCGCTGGAGGCGAGTCCGAGCTCGCAGCCATGCCGAAATTCTTCTTACATGCAAGGCTCCGTGCAGCTGACGACGAGGCTCGCAAGGACCGGCTGCGTGCGCGGCTCGTGTGGTTTCTCGGCCTCTAGAAAGGTTTTCTGGGGCTCCGAGTGCTGTAACTGGCCAGACCAAGTTTCTTCTTGGTGTCATGCCCTGTGTCAGATTTTGGCTGCGGGGGGTTGAGTAAGAATCCGAAGAAGGTCGGCCGAGCGAAGTGATACGGCATTGCAGGACGCATTGTTGTGCCAGGTCTGCTGCTTTTTACTTCCTGAGGTTGCCGTATAGGAATGTAAGGGAAGCCTGCGGGAAAGCTTTAGGCTAAGTAGTCCTTCAACGTCTGTGGGGCTGTCTCGTATATGACGGTGGCCTTGAAGGCTTCCGGGGCTATCTCCTGCATGAATCTGAGCGAATGTTGTGGGAACGCTGAGGCTTTTGGTCGTGCTGGAGACGATCTCCATTCTTTGCTTTCCTCAAGTGGCGACCCTCACGCACGGAGTGTTCTTTCTGATCCCGCTTGGGGCGCTCTTGCTTGCTGCCGCAATCCGCCTTCACTCCAGGCCTCACATCCTGCTGGCCGAGCCACTGTGCATCCTTTGGCCTGACAACCATTCCAGACACGGCCTGGCCCGCGAGCAAGCGCCCAATCTGTGCTTCTGTGGCTCTGTGTGGGCATTGAAGCTTGTGTGCTGTTTGACTTTCTGGGCGAACCCGGCTGCCATCAGCCTGCTGGGGGACAGCTGCCCTGATTCCGTCCCACGCACGAATTGCAGCCATTACACACGACCAGCGGATGGAAGTCGCCTATGCATGGACATACATCTCCTTTTCGAGCCACGAGATGCCAACCGCAAAGGCCTGCATGAACATGTGGGCGGTGCATGCTGGGAGCAGTGCTCTGGTTGTGCACCTTGGGAGAGGAATTACAATTACAATATCCATCATGGCACTGTGCTCCTTCAGAGTTGTGATGAGCCGTGCAGATTGTCTTGCTGCCAGTGCCTGCATTGCTACCTTTCACCCACCGTGCCTTTCTGGTTGAAGCAAGGATGCAGTGCGGAAGCATTCGCGCCAGATTTTGTTGAGGAGCTTTACACGTGCGCAGGTGGTTGCTATCTTCCGACGCGTATTTCGTACTATGAAACGCAGACGCTGAGCATTGAGAATACTATGCTTGCGGAACTGTCTCGGTGCACCTTGGTCCATGGAGCAACGTCTGCTCAAGTCAAGATTGCCGTGGCTGTAGTCTCGACGTTGCAGTGCTTGCCTTTGGCCTCTTTGGTGGCTTGCCTCTTGCTGAGCATCTTGCTGCATCTGCTGAAGGGCGGAAGTGCCTCTGTCATGCCGGGTGCTGTCCCCATGGACCTTGAGACCATTGAAGCCATCGACGCAAAGGCAGCGCAGTTGCAAGACCAGATCGCGCGCAGAAGGTTGGAATCCTCGCCAAAGGTGAGATTCCAGCTTTGGATGGAGTTTGTTGTTTTCCTGCTGGACTACCTGTCAGACTACAATTGCCTCCTCACGTTTTTCTTGGAGGGAGCCTATGGTGTGGCAGCTGTGCAGGTTGTCATCATCGTTGCTCCGGTCGTCTTAGACTGCTACCGCGGTAAGATACAGCTGGTCGAAGTATTCGGTGGCTTCATTCAGTCACGGAAGCGGGGCTTTCCTACCGACGACTTCATGCTGGCACTTCGCTCGGAGAAGAGCCTGGAGGCTGCACGCTCAAGTTTCCTGAATCCCCCTAAACCGCGTAGTAGGGTTTAGGGAATTAGGGTTTAGGGCTTAAGCCCCTTAAACAGCTGTAAGCCGTTTATGAGCTTCGAGGCCCCACTCTCGATGTTCCTGCAGTTCTACACGCTCTTGCGGACCACCAGCCCCTGGTCAATCTGGAGCCTTTGCATCTCCATGCCGCTGAGCATCCTGGGCATTGCGAAGCATGTCCACGCCACATTTGAGCTTCAGATTCTGGAGGTGTTGATGAGACGTCCAACCCAGCGCGAGCTACAGACCACACCCCTGGCGACAGCGCAAGGCGCAATGCAAGGGTCCCCTTGTCCGCCAGATTCCACCCAGGTCATTCCGGACCTGCCTCCGGCCATCGCACCACGTGCCGAGCCCCTCCCGACCCTGCCTCCAGGCATCGCACCAGGTGCCGAGCCTCTTCCGACCCTGCCTCCAGGCATTGCGCCCCGTGGCGCAGTTCTTCCCATTAGTGTGGGGAGCTCAAAGGTGAAAGACACTGAGTAGTCTTTCGCACAACAGATTTACACAATTCTATTTCTCGCTTGATTGTGGGATCAGGCCAAGGTTTGTTGGCACGCTGCTTTGTCGTGCAAAATCGACTTCGCAGTACTAATAGGGGCCTTAATAATTTGCCATATTATTTGGGAGGGTTCCTGACTATAACTATAAGTATAATGGGTTGCAAAATCCTATTCTAATCGTTGAGGCCCCTATATGACGGTTCTTGTGCAATCATCCTCTGCGTTGTCCTTCAAGCGGGGAGTCTCCAACGTCTGCGTCGGAGTTCCTTTTTTTGCAACTTTAATCTTTCCACCGTGGCGGCATTGTCTGCAATGGCAGAGCCCACCACGAAAATGAGCTATCCTGTCGTCTTGGCCCGCCGTACGCCATGATACATTTAAGAAAAGCTTCAGAGGTACTGCCATCCGACATCGGAGGCCCTGGTTCAAACGTAACTGGACGCACATTGTGGCAGCTTCCCAGCTGAAACTCGCCGCCGCCGCGTTAAGGAGCTTGAGCCCAAACACCTGCAACAGGACATCCCGGAGCCTCTCCCCTCCTCGGCGACCGACAGTCATCCACGGGTGGAAAGCCAGGCCCGGTTGTGTATAGGTGGCTAAGAGCTTGGAGTTGTTGGGCAGGTTGGCAGAACTCTCCGAGTGCACTCTACTCATGCAAAGTCCGAACTCAAACCAAAGAAGGCGAGAGCTTGGAGTTGGGCTTCAGGCTTGTTTTTCCGAACAATGCCAAGAGGCACCGGGAATCTCTGAGAATTCCGTGGGGTGTAGGGTTGAGGGTTTGGGCTTTGGGGCTTGGTTAGGAGTGCAGGGTTTCGGATTTGGCGTCTTCGCAGAGGGGTGTTAGGTGTTAGGCTAGGGTTTTTATGTATACATATATATATATATATACATATCCCACAGAGCTCTTGCACAAACTGTCTGACTTCTCAGTTGTCCGGTTTAAACCTAACGCTTAAACCCCGCATCACGAAAGTCCTTGAAATCCTACACCCACACCTTTCCACCATGGCAGAAATCCAAAGGACAGTGAATCTGTGAGAATTGTCTGGATTTTTTTGTGTTGGCTGACTGTTACTGTAAGCTTGGAGAAGGGCGGGCTTTTGAGGTTGTGGGATCTGAAAGGGCGAAAGCCTGAGCATCTAGACCTGCAAAGCTCTGAGCCTTTTGTCGTTCAAAGGGTGTAAGGTGCCTCGCGACGGCGGACTGCATCAGTACAAAGCCTGCTGGTCGGCGCCTGCAAGACCTCAAGGTTCAATCTTGAGCAGCATAGACCGGTCACGCCGTCGCAAGCCTGCAGCCAGATTGAATCGTTTTGCCGTAGAGACGCCCCATACCCAACAACGCCCTGATCCTTACAGAATCTACAACCCCCCGAAAAAGAAGAAGTGCTAAAGCTCCAAAGCCACACACCCAACAATCTTCGATCCCAAATCTCACGACCTAATATAGAGATCCGGGTCACAAGTCATGATGCTCCCTCGCTGTTCCCATCCTTCACCCCAAACCCCTATTCTGAGTCTTAAGGCGTCTATACTGCATGACGTAGCAGACCCTAAACCTTTAACTTTTAAACCCTCAGCCCTAAGCCGCAAACCCCAAACCCCTAAACCTTGAGCCCTAAATCCTAAACCCCAAACCCCTAAACCCTGAGCCCTAAACCCTGGAGCCCCAAAGCCTTGGGTTCCTCGCGCACCATGCGGCGCCTTTTGTGCCTTCTGGGCGTGGTGCGCAGGGAGCTGAACTCGAAGTTCTAAGTTTAGGGGTTTGGGGTTTAGGGCTCAGGGTTTAGGGGTTTAGGGGTTTAGGGTTTAGGGTTATATAAGACTTTGTCTTGCCTTTGGTTAGTAGGGAATGGACGAATGGTAGTAATAGTTATTATAATCGTACCCCATTCCTCCATTCCCTACTAACCAAAGCTAAGTTGTTCGGCCAACTGCGAAACCCAACCCAAAACACCAGAAACTACAGGGCGCAGTTTTTCGGACAAGATCTTGTGCCATAGAGTACTATACAAGATACAGAGGACTGAGGCATGTCGCGGCTCCTAGGGTAATGCTGATTCGGATGGGGCTTGTGGCTTGGGTTTTCCGCGCCAGCAGCCTGGGTTTTGGGATTGGGGGCTTCTGAAAGGGCTCATGGGCACCACTTTCAGACCAACGGTTTTCATTCTGAACCTGAACCCTTACATGGGTGGTGGTCAAAATCATGGTCCCTATGTGGGTCCTTATTTCAATAGGCACCTACTATTTAGGGCCTTAACTACTACCCACATGGAAATCTTGAAATCTTCAGAAACACCCGAAACCGAAGAGACTGTAGACTGTGAGAAGCTCCCAGTCACCCAGCCCAAACAGTTCCTGGTGCTTACGCTTTAGGGGCCTTAATAATGAGAATAGGGTTTTGGGGCCCATGATACAATAAATTTAATTAGGAGCCCCGCAAATTTGTATAGGTAATTATTTAGGCTCCTATAGTAGGGCTTTAGGGGGTTTCGAGTCCTTGGACAGTGGGTTTTTAGGGTTCATCGATTTGTCAGGGCACACGATGCTTTGATGGCCTTGGAGAGTTTTCAAGAGCGCCGCAAAGCGGAAAGCCACAAGAGAAGCCCACGAGCTGCAAAACTGAACCCTAAACCTCATAATTGGGTTTAGGGATGTTAGGGTTTAGGAATTGGGACTGGGGAGCCTTTCTTTCCATAGAGCTAGGCCCACACCCATCGAAACCCTACCTGCGTTCGGGGTTTAGGGGTCCAGGGGTTTTGGGTTTTGAGGTTTAGGGTTTAGGGTGTGGGGGTTGAGTGGTTTAGGGTTGAGGAGTTTTCACGGGTTGTCAAAATTAGGGTCTGTTTTTGGGTACCCTAAATAGCAAGTGCATCATTATATTAAGGTTAGGGACCTTCCAACAGGTTCTTCTCCTCCTCCTCCCCGGGCTCCGTCGCTCCTGGAGCCCCTCCGCGGCGCCTAAGACGGGCGAGCTGCTGACCTGGGGTCTCTTCGAGGAGCTGAGCAAGGCCGGATTCTGCCGTAAGTTTCTTCGTCGTAGGTTTTGGGGTTTAGGGTTTGGGGTTCCGGGTTTAGGTCGTAGGTTTTGGGGGGTTCTCAAAGGGTTCCAAAAAAGGAGAAGGACGTTCCGCTAAGCATGTTGTATTGGGCAAACGCTCACAGAAGACGCTTGTCAGCCCCTCCAGAAGCTTGCAGAAGCCTTCCTCGTTTTGGTGCATGTCACAGTCTAGTCATAGTGGATACCGTTTCTACGTATTCAGGCCTCTCTGTTCAAGCTGGTGCTCACGAGCCAAAAAAGCCAAGAAAGCCCCGAGCGCTGAACCAAACAGTCGAAAGCCCTGAGCTCCCCAAGTAGACGTTTTCGGGCCACTTACACAAACATTAAATACCCAAACTAGCTAGACTTATCAAGCTTACGTCTTACGTACGATCCCAAACCCGGAGATAAACTCTACACCCGAAGACCGCACTTCTAACCCAGACCGCCAACCCTAAACCTTCGCTAGACCTCTTGTAGAACCCGCAGGTGGGCTTCCTGCAGGGGGCCGTCGGGGGCTTTGCGACTTCCCCGGAGCTTCCCACCACGACGACCACCTCTACAGTGAGCCTTGAGCTTGTTTCTTGGGGGTGTGGTGTTGTGCGAGGTTTTCGATAGCATCTCACAGGTTGCCATAAACAGCTTCTTCTGTACAGATGTTGTAGGCTACTACGCGCAGCTAGGGCTCGAATTGCCTCACCAGCGACGGCCGGTAGGAACATCGAAGCCCCAGGCACTTTAGTGTCGCCATTGCGCCGCGATCACCGGCTTGGCATCGCCACTTACGGCAAGCTCGTGCTCGAGCTAGGACCTCTCTGCGCACGGGCAGATTCCTCTCTAAAAAACAGGTGGGTCGTCTTCGCGGCCACCACGGTACGGCCCCGTTTCAGCAAGGCTTCCTCGATCGAATGGGCAGAGGCGAGAAACCATGGCCCGACAGCTCATACAAGTTGTGGCGGGGATCTTGGCCGCTTTCACCGCGAGCCAAGCATGCGCAGCAACCGCCCTGGAAGAAAGGGAGTGGCAAAGGGAAGCCGTCAGTGGCCTTCCCGGCCTACGATGCGGTTGCCCCCTCTGCTGGTTCGAGTGCAGCTGGAACGCAAGTTGTGAACATCGAAGACGATGGTGCCGATCCGCAGGCGCACATGGTCCCCAGCATGCAGAAGGCGCTCAACGCCTGCCGCAAGGCGGAGCAACGCCTTGCGAAGCTCGTGAAAGAGCGGAGGACCTCGATTCAACAGTGGGATGGCTACGTCAAGCAGGCCAAGGCCGCGTATGTCAAAGAGAAGGCCAGGCATGTCCGGGCCCTGGAACACTTCGACAAGGAGTTGGCGGCGGCCCAGGAAGCTCAGGAAGATGCGAGGCATCTTGTCTGCCTGGTTGCACATCACCACGCGGCTCGGAATGGGATACGATGATGGCCGACTGGGAAAAGGAGGAGGCCGAAGCGGACAGCGAGGTTTTGCGCCGTGCTGTCGAAAGCATGAGGATGGCCCGGACACCCAAGCCCCCGGCCGGCAGAGTTCCGAGGACACCGGAGGGCGCATCCGAGGCCCCCACCTACACTGCCGTTTCGCCGGATTTGGGCAGGGCACGTGTGGATCCCTATCCGGCTACGACACCGGCTGGAACCAACACAGCCACCCCGGTGGGCCGGGCAGCGACTGGACAGACCGATGCGGATCTTACGACTCACCGAGCAGGCGGGCGCGACCGGAGCCTACGATCGGAGCGGAAGGGAGTCAAGGAGGCGACCAAGACCAAGCCCCCAGGACTCGATCCGCATGGTACCTTGGAAACCAAGCTCCAGCAGAGGAGAGCGATGGCGCCATTCGGTCTCCCACAGGCTGCACCTGCGGAAGTTCGGACACCAGGCCTAGGATCTACCGACGGCCCTCTGCATTACGACGACGACGACGATTCCGATCTCGCGGTCGAGCTTACTGCAGAAGAGATGGCCAAGCTGCAGCAGGCCAAGGATGGCCCCGGCACGGCCGGTGCCGAGTGACAGACCGGAGCTTATACCCCCGACCAATCGACCATGCGTGGGCTCTTCGGCGTTCCCTTGGGAGCCCAGCCTCTGTGACAGGACGTGTACTCATGGGGCTGTACACTTTTTGTCCAGAGTGCAAGCTGCACCTTGGGTTGAGCAAAGGAGAGCCCTGGCATGAGCCGGTTGGTCCAGATGGGGTCTTGTCTGAGTGGTCGGCTGCTATGTACAGCATCGTGTATAGATCCAGTTTCTATGGGTTGAATGTAAGATCGAAGGTAGGCTGTTTTTGCTCCGCTGAGAGTTACACCTGCAACGGCCCGATTTACCCACCAGGCCATCTCTGTCATCGGCCCTCTGCCATCTCGCTTCTGTCGTCCTCGACTTGGCTGAGTCCCCTGTCGGTTCGATGGGGCTCTGTCCATGGTCCTCGCCTTTCGCCGCCGACAGCCGAAGAGCTGAAGGCTGGCTGCAGCAATCGTGCAGCGCACACAGAGAGCCCCACACGTGGGCTGATGCCGAAGGTTGGCCAATATCAGAGGAGGAAATTCCGAGCACCTAACAGTCGTATCGGTGGTTCAGGGACGGCGGCCGGATTTCCTCTTGTGTTCGATGCCTTCGAGTCAACTGGGTTAGTTAGAGGGGGTGGTGTCTTCCGGGGGATGATTGAGGCAATTTTGCGGTGGCTTACCATCACCATCTGCCCATTCTTCCTACAGCTCCTTCTGTTGCCCAGCTGTGTGATGATCAGGGTATTATGCCGGTCAGCTGGCGTTTTGCGGCATCCCTTCGGCCGTGCCGTGTCTTTGCCAGCCAGCGGAGTTCCGGATAGCATCCTTCTGTGCTTCAGCCTTCACAGGCGCGGCAATAATCCCTCGCCCGGACATGCCAAGGGCAAGCGTCTTCCGACAAGCGTCAAATTCCCGGTTTGGAAGGTTCTCGGTTATTTTGGGCTGATAACTAGTCTTCCTGCCCGGGTGTGGGCTGCTCCTGAGCCCTGGGGTGAAGCAGTCAACATTTTGATCCACGCCGCGAGGATGCTACCAGAGCCTCTGCCGCCCGAAGCTCCGAGGCTTGTGCTTCCCCCGGCATGTGCGGCCGACCCCTTGTTCAGTGCAATTGCGACAGAGCACGCAGTTCACCATCAGCCACTCATGGAGAATCCGGCCCTTCTTGCCTTACCGGATGCTGCGCCCGACATTGCCGATCGGGAGGAGCCGGACTCCCTGCTCACATGTCAGGTTCTTGCGCCACATTACCACCCAGTGGTCATCACTTTCCGGCACCGCATGCCGTGCTCATACCAGACCTTCATCACGCTGGTTCACAATCGCCTCCCAGCCAACCTGACTGGTCTGCCTCAGTTTGTCACGCCGACCATTCCTCAGCTGTGCCCTGATCATGCCACCATGATAGCAGCACCTTCCTGGGTTGCTTCTTCTGGTATGTGTGTAGTGGTCTATGACATGCGTGCAGTTGGGGGCCCAGTCTACGCGGACTTTACACACGAGCAGCTCCGGCACGGGGATTGCGTCCGGGAAGCGCATAGACATAATTTGGATTCCTGGGAAGTCTATGTCTTTGGGCATTCGACGCCCTTTCCGGCGAATGCCACTTGTCTTGCCGTCCAGGGAGGTGTGGTCCAGTTCAGGCCTCCAGGCAGCCCACCAGAGTGGTGCTGCACTCTCGCTACTAGGCTCAGCCGGCCTCGGATGTGGGTGGAACAACCTAACCTCATCGCCCACTCGAGGGAGAGACCTCTCTTGGTCACGTACCATGACAGTAGCACACTTGTCACACGACAGCGAGCAGCCGGTCAGGACCTCCGTACGCTGATCGCCGATTTAGTCGATCGGCGGCCTGAGACCGCCCTGTTTTGTGCACCCTCTGGCAGCGAGCTCGAGGACGTTGACCACCATGGTGTGAGGTGCAGGGATGTCATTGCAGTTTTTCCCCTGCGTCCGGACCCCCAGCGTACAGGCATTATTGTCTTCCTTGATGGTCGGCCAGTCAATGAGCCCATAATGCACGTGTACTTAGAGGGATCGGTTGTAGAGGTCGCATTTCTCATCCGATACATGCATCTCCGGCCACCGGGCACCTTTAAAGTTGCCTGTAGTCCCAGACCCCGCCGCAACGGTTCCTTGAGCCTTCGTGAAGGGGATGTGGTAGTCTTCGGGTACGTACAGGATTTCGCTTCAGACGAAGAAAGCGAATCTTCCTCCAGCGTGTTCGAAGAGCCCGACTCGGACCCTGATGATGACTCTGTTCGCGATGGGGAGCCTCCCCGAGGACCGCCACCACCCGTACCGGTCAACCGTCCCGGTACTCCTAGACCTAATGACGGCCACTCTTCTAGGTCTCGGTCTCCGGTCCCTAATAGGCGCAGCCTTACCGACTCCCAAAGGCTAGTTAGTGACCGAGTAGAAAGCTGTAAGCACGAGTGGCCCATAACTCAGCTCAATACTGAAGTTCTCAGCGTGGCACCGTTTTGCAATGCTTACAAGCTGCTCCAGGAGCCGTCAGGGCCTGGCGACCTCAGATCTGTTGAGATACAGGAGTTGCGTGATCTCGCTGACATGATGGGACAGGCCTGGCGCTATGAGGATCGAGATGTACTAGAGGACAGGCTAATGATGTTCCCAGCCGGACCCGCCGAGGAGGCTGACATTGTCGAAGAGCCCGTCCGCACTGTCTTTGTTGTTCTCAAGCCCGGCTATGCTCCAGAGAAGGTGGTTGTGTATACCATGCTCCCTGCTGATGTTAACCATGTGTTGCAGCAGGTTCAAGCTGAAAGATCTGTGCCCGAGGCTCGCAGGTTTCCGGCCCTACTTGCAACCATACCTCAACCGACCCCTCTTTGGGGTCTTGTCGTAGCTCTTCCTATTTGGGACCCACAAGCATCAGTTATTGTTTTGGATGCCAGGTTGCTTGACGGCCGACTCTTTGCCGTGCAAGCTCCTATCTTCGTGACCAGGACTACGGTGCTGTGGCTGGCAGGCATTCCCTCACAATCGCCAGCCATAGTGTGGGATCCCTTGGCCGACCGGCCGATCCCAGATAACCAAGAGTTACGTGTCTTTCCAGGACAGTGTTTTCTGATCACAGCAGCTGATCAAACGGCCCCCACGGTTTATGACCTCCAATGGCTTTTGATGCAAACAGAGTCGTGGGCGGCAGATGCTGTTTTGCCTCAACCAGCTGCAGACAGCAGCTATTGTTGTGTTCATGCCGGAGGGCACGTCCTCTACGTTGCTGACCCAGCGACGCCGTGGGCGTACCGCCAGGAGATCGCCCGCACATGCGGTCTCGACCCGGACCGTGTGCACATCATTCCGGCAGACCCGCGGCAGGGAGACTGTGCTCTCTACGGTTACTCCTGCAATACAGTGTTGGCCGTAGGCCCCAGACCTGACAGCCAACAGGCGGATTCTGTATCAGCTGTTCTCGTAGACTGCAGGCCCATTATGCAAGGATGGTTTTGGGCCCCGACAACCGGGATGCTTGATTTTGATCAGCTTGAGCAGGAGCTTGGAGAATTCGCACCGCTGTTTTGGGAGCTTACCTTGATAGGCC